TGATAGGATATAGTAAAATATAATTAACATGTTAGTAAGAATAACTGATTTTGGTAAGAAATATTTTATTGTTTTTAAAAAATAATCGATTTTTAGTAAAAAATAATTGGCTATTAGTAGAAAAAGTATTGAATTTTTAGTAAAAATAAATTGTTAATAAAAATGTTTGATTTTTAGTAAAAATAAATTGTTAGTAAAAATAATTGACTGTTAATAAAAAAGGATTAATTATATTGTAGTAAAATATAATTTATTTTTGTAAAAATTACTGATTTTTATTAAAGAATAATCGACTACTAGTAAAAATAATTGATTTTGAGTATAAAAAATAATTGATTTTTAGTAGAAAATATTTGTCTATTAGTAAAAAATAATTGTATGTTGCTAAAAGTTCTTAATGTTTATTAAAACTAACTGATTATTAGTAGATTATTAGTATTTGTTTGATACTAAAAAAATGTTTGACTGATAAGAAAAAAGTATTTGATTGTTAATAAAAAAAAATTATTTTCAGTAAAAAAATAATTAATTCTTACTATAAATGAATTGACTATTATTAAAATAAATAATTGCTGTTTTTCAAAAAATGTTTGATTGTTAATAAAAAATAATTGACTTTCAGTAAAAAAAATAATTGATTTTCAGTAAAAAATAATTTACTATTTGTTAAAAAAAAATAATCGATTTTATTGTAAAATTATTTTATTGTTAATAAGAAATAATGGCTTTTAGTAAAAAATAATTGATTTAATATAATTGGCTGATAACAAAAAATAATTTACTGTTATTATTAAAAAATGAACGATATAAAAAATTAAAGATTAAAAAAAATATTAAATATTAAAAAGAATAGTAAAAAATTAATGAAAATTTATAGTCAAATTTCACTAAACAATTTAGTTAATAAAAATATTATCTATTATTAGCTAATGTTAATTGCAAATGATCTATAAAAATATAAACAATATGAATCAGAACTATTTTATTTATATTAATTCAAATTTATTGCATCACTTCGAGAAAAAGAAATCATTGAAAAACTCTTTAATCTCAATAATGAATATAAAATATCATAAAATTTTCGATGGTACACAACATTTAGCAACAATGTGAATAACAAAAAAAAGAGATTTTAAGGATTTCAATTTTCCATTTAACTTCTGAAACACGATTTACTTAAAATTCAATTGTCGCGTTGAAAATGACAATTGTTCGAACGTTTGTTTGGGGGGCAATAAAACAATCATATTGCCTTAATCCCCGTGTAAAAGCAAATTATTCGCTATAAAAGGAGAGCTTTAAGAAACGTAAAAGATTGTACCGCAAAAAGTTGTTTTCTATAATATAACGAACACGCGAACATTAACAGTATACATATATACATATACCATTTCAGGTGTTCCTTTTTCCGGGTGTTGAAGAAAGATGAAAAAGAATCGTCCTTTTACTCCCTATAATCCCCAATTGACAAAGGTTCAACTTGTCAAAATGGCCAAAAAATAATTTACGATATAGCTAACCGTAAAGTCCTTTAAAGAATAGCCACTTGTAAGCCGATGGATTATTCGCAAATTAAGGGGAAATCCAATTTCGACAATATTTATCATTCCCTTAATCCCATCTTCGAATTTTAACTTCTTATGTACACAATTGTCGCCATCTTGATTTTCTCATATCCCGTTGAGTTAGAATTTTATAATTATGACGATAGGTACGACGAATTATTTTTTGTTTTAACTAATTTATATTTTATTATTTTTATATAATAAAGTAAATGTGAAGATAATAAATTATTATGAAGAAAACTGTCGACTGACTAATATTTATAGGAAGCATTAATATATTCTATAAAAATTATTATAGTTGAAATATTTATTAATTTATTAAAAATAAATTAATATAATTATAATGTAATAATATAATTAGTATAATTTTCCTTATTGAAAATGTTAACTATAATTATAATTTGTATAAAATTGTATAATCTATATAAAAATTGTATATACATGTAGTTAAAAATAACTAATAATAGAGAACATTTTTATTAACTAAATTATTTAGTAAAATTTGACTAATAATTTTTCAGTATAAATCCCTCTTTACTGACAATCACTTTATTCTTTAACTATCAATTAATAATTTTTAATGACCACTTATTTTGTATTAATGTTAGTTATTTTCTTTCATATTAATTAGTTATTTTGTATTATTATTTAATTATTTCTTACTTGGCAATCAGTATTTTTTACAAAAATCAATTATTCTTTATTATAAATAAATGTTTTTTTTGTTAACAGTTAGTTATAATAAAAAAATTATTTTTTACTAAACGTCAATTATTTCCTTCTAGCAATAAAATATTTTTTACTAAAAATCATTCATTTTTACTATCAGTGAATTATTTTTTAACAGGGATAAATTATTTTTTTATTAACAGTCATACAGTCAAATAATATTTCCAACTATAAAAATGAATAACTTTTACTAACAGTCAACTATGTTTTTTTAAAAATCTATTATTTTTCTTACTGATAATCAATTATTTTTTATCAGCAATCAGTATTTACTGATTGCTGATAAATAAATAAATTTTATTTCATACTAAAAATCAATAATTTTTATTAAAATAATTTTTCTTTCAAAAGTCAAATATTTTTTTTTCTAAAAAAGAATCACTTTTTAATGAAAATAAATTATTTTTTACTAGCAATCAGTAATTTTTTACAAAAATCAATAATTTTTGCATTAACAGTCAATTATTTTCACTAACATTTTATTTTTACTGAAAATCAAACATTTTTATTAACAATTTACTTTTATTAACAATCCATTATTTTTTACTATAGCAATCAGCGATTTTTTATAAAAAAAAATTTTTTTTATTATGAGAAAATGATTTTTTCTTTAACAGCAATTATAATAATCAAATTAGTGTTAACTAAAACTACATTATTTTTTTTTACTAAAAATCATTTATTTCCTTCTATCAATAAAATATTTTTTACTAAAAATCAATTGTTTTTTTAACAATCAAATATTTCTTACTGAAAAACATTTTTTTTTCTAAATATAAATTATTTTTTAATATTAGTCAAATATTTTTTACTAAAAATCAAATATTTTTCTATTAACAATTTAATTGTTTTTTCAAAAAATCGTTCTTTTACTATATCAGTCAATAATTTTTTTACTATTATTAGTGGAAAAATATTTCAATTTTTCCACTAATAATCAATTATTTTTAATAAAAATTAATAACTTTTATCAACAGACAATTATTTTTTACTAATAGTCAATTATTTTCTACTAAAAATCAATTACTTTTTATTACTCAAAATCAACTTTTTAATTATCAATCAGTAATATTTTAACAAAAATCAATTATTTTTGCATTAACAGTCAATTTTTTTTACTAACAATTTATTTTTACTAAAAATCAAAAATTTTCATTAACAATTTACTTTTATTAACAGTCCATTATTTTTTACTAGCAATCAGCCATTTTTTATTAACAGTCAATTATAATAATTAAATTAATTTTTACTAAAACTACAATATTTTTTTTACTAAAAGTCATTCATTTTCTTCTATCAATAAAATATTTTTTGCTAAAAATAAATTATTCTTAACTAAAAGTCGATTTTTTCAATAAATTTCGTTCATTTTTACTATCAGACAATTATTTCTTACTATATATTTTATTCTAAAAATCAATTATTTATCTATATTTACAGTCAATTATTTTTTACTAAGAATCAATTGTTTTTTTAATAACAATCAAATATTTCTTACTACAAATCATTTTTTTTACTAAATATAAATTATTTTTTAATATCAATCGAATATTTTTTTACTAAAAATCAAATATTTTTTTACAAATAGTCATTATTTTTCACTATTAAGAAAATATTTTTATTAAAAATAAATCATTTTTTACTAAAAGTTAATTTTTTTTTTAGTAAAAATTATTCATTTTTACCTAGAGTCAATTATTTTTTACTAAAAATTGATATAAGTTTTACTAATCTTTTTCTAAAACTCAGTTATTTTTTACTGAAAGTAAATTATTTTTTAATAGCAATAACTTTATTACTTTATTATTAATAACTTAATTCTTTATTATTATTAAATTATTTTTTTATTACCAAACAGTCAATTATTTTCTACTAAAAATCAATAATTTCTAGTAAAAATTAAGTTATTTTTCTCAAAAATAAAATATTTTTTTACTAAAAATGAATTATTTTTCAGTGACAATAAATCTGTTTTTAATGTCAATCAGTAATTTTTTTACGAAAATCAATTATATTTTTACTATAAATAAATTATTTTTTTATTAACAGAATAAGTAATAATTTATTAAATTAGTTTTTCACTAAAAATTTAAAAAAATTTTATTTACCACTAATCAACTATGTATTTGTTTAAAAATAAATTTTTTTACTAATAGTCAATTATTTTTTACTATTAATTATTTCTTTACCAAAAATCAATAATTATTGATTGTTAATAAAAAAATAAGTAAGTAACAATTGTTACTAACAATTTATTTTTACTAATAATCGAATATTTTTTACTTGCGATTATTTATATTCTATTGACCTTCAATTATTTTTACAAATTGAAAATTTAAAAGATATAGAATAATTTACTGTATTTTTAAGTTATTTAATTAAAAAGTCAAAATTTAAATAAAAATGCATATTAAAAACAAAGATTTTAATTAATATTGAAGTTAATTTATATTATCTATTAATTAAGTATTTACTTAAATGTAAATAACTATTAAATAATAATTATAAGATAATTAATAATAATAATTAAAATTTATATTATTTATTAATTTATTAATTTTACCCAATAATTATTAAATTTTCCCGCGCTTCCAATAAACACCTGTCATTGGATGCACACCTGTCAAATCATACAAAGCAACGTGCCAACAATCGATGTTTATATATCGATTCTAAAACCGGTTTTCGAGATTCGATACTTGAAATGATTCGAGGCGGTTGATGACAGAGAGAAGTGACACACCGTAAATTATATTTCACTTTGCTAATGTGTGTTAAAATAATTACAGTGTGAACCGAGTCAACTCTAAAAAATGTTGGTTTTCTGTGATAATACCAATATGAGACTCGTCGTTCTTTCATTTTTATTGGTAAGTAAATTGATTCATTTTCAACACTAGACATTTTTTTCTATTCAACATCGAATCACATATAGACACAGAAACTGTCATTGCTGTCTAGTGACACGTTTCTACTTTACAGCTGACAATATTGTTTCAAACCTTTTACAATTATAGTCATGCAATACAATAAATATTCATTTACATGACTTAATTAAATATCAATTGTTGGTGTTTATAGAAAGTGACATAACCTATAAACATCGGCATATAACCTCAAAATCAACACAATTTACAATTTTTCATATAGTCTATACTTCCTGCAGTAAACGTCACTTGTGATAATTAACATTTCAATCTTATCTGTGTATGTTTTTTTTATATTAATTTATTAAATGTTTGTTTAAACATTGAAAATTTCCAGCTGTTATGGAAAATATTTCGATGTAAATTTTGTATAATTTAGGAGCAAGCGGACAAAAGTTTGATAAGTCCATTTTTTAAAAAACTTTTACTTTGCATTTTCCAAAAATGATAATTATTTAAATTTCCAAATAAATCACTATTACATTAAGTAGAAAATTGTTAATAAACAATTATATTAATTTAAAAATATTTGTACTCAACCAACAAGATTTAAAATTTTAGTTTTTTTTTAACTAAAGAAATGCCCAAAATAATAAAATTCATTATTTATCATTCACTTTAATTAATAATGAGACTTCTAAGTCCAAAAAAGTATTCTGATATAAATAATTCAGTATATTTTTTTCTATTTTGAAATTAACTTTGGTTATGTGTGAAATTGTATTTGTTTAAATTTCTCAAAATAATTAAAAAATGGACTTATCCACTTTTGGCCGCTTATTCCTCATATGTAAATGAAAAAGTGGATTTAGATTCATTTCGTTTATTAATATTTTTCAAATTTGTTTCTGTTTTTTATTCACTGTCTATTTTATTATTTGTTTATGCATTTTAAAATATTAATTTATTATTTACGTTTAGGTGTCTGTATGGTGCAATGGAGCAAATGGTGGTGCACTAACACTTACAAAAGAGAATTTTGATATGACAATAGGTAAGTGTGTTTTGAAATAAAATTACATTAAATCTATTATTAGATATCTTTTTTACGATAATAATTTTCTATTACATAATAACTATAAAATTACAGTTTTCATGATAATATAATTATTATTCCTGTAATTTGAAAATTTTTATCAATTTTTTTTCAGGGTCATCTTATTTTTAAATTAAATTTACCATTTTTCTTGTTATTTTAATAATGTTTAAAAAAACATTATTGTAATAAAAAGAAAACGTTTTTTTCCATTTTTTGGTTTCGTTTATCATTTTCCGTGTGTTTTATGTTTATTCGTTATTATAAACAAGGAAAAGTTGTTATCTGCTTAATACAAGGTTCGAAACGTATACTCAAATTTTTTTTTACAACACGTTATCTGAGTTTATTTTTAATTAAAAATGATTTCAATATTATGATTGATAATCAAATGATTTTCTTTCTTTTTCAGCTTCAAATGAATTAGTGTTTATAAACTTTTATGCAGATTGGTGCCACTTTAGCAATCTATTGAGTCCCGTTTTTGACGAGGCTGCAGATAAAATAAAAGAAAAATTTTCTCAATTAGGACAAGTAGTTGTAGGTAAAGTCGACTGCGATAAACAAGGTGAGTTAAAAATGTCTTTCTGGCAAATTTAATGAATAGACAAAAAAAATTAATTACCATTGATAAAGGTATCTTATCTTATTCTGTTTGGGAAAAAAAGTTTGTAAAAGCGTAAGAAATTAGTACAAAACATAACATCGAAATTAAAATAACAATCAAATGTGTTATTTTTAGAATTATTTTTGAAAACATTTAAATACGATGTTTTTTATTATTTATATGAGTCATTCCATTATATTTCGACTAAAGTCGTTGCTGACTAATTTTAAAAAATTATAATATTTTGCAGGAATGATGTTAAAGATATTAGGATCACCGAACAAAAAGAATTTTTTAAATATTTTTTATATTTATTGTAAAATAAGCATCTAAAGTATATGAAGTCGTAAAAACTGTCACATTTTCATCTATTAGAAAATATTAAAGAAAACACATAATTTACTATAAAAATGTAAAAAAGTTATAAGAATTTATTAAGAATGAATTGTTTTATTATTATAAATTGATAGAAACAATTATTAATAAGAAATATTAAATAAAAAAGGATTTTAAAGTTCACCTGCCAAATAACCTAATTTTGCAAATTTCATTCACTAAATGTGAGAAAGAGAAATCATTAAATTGAATAAAACCTTATGAAATATAAAGAACCTGTGATTAACTTTTAGTTTTTCTTATCACTTTCTTCCTTTTTTCTTCATAAATGTTAAAAAATAAGCAATTAAAACTGGCACTTTGCTTATTTTCACGATTTTAAAATGCAAATAACTTCTGCCCAGAAAAATGAAAAATTACGAAAATTGGACAATAATTATTTGATCACTAGATACACTCACTGGAAAAAGATTTTCTTTGGTCCCGAAGCTATTTTCCGAATTCATTAACTTTAAACTTTTTACTATTTTTATCAGGTTAATACATGTGTTTTTTAAAGGACGAAGTTAGCTCTTCTTGTTTAATCGTTTTGAACCAACTTCAGTTTTAAAAAAATCACATGTATTAACCTGATAGAAATAGTGAAAAGTTTAAAATTAATTATTTCGGAAAATAGCTTCGGGACCAAAGAAAATCTTTTTCCAGTGAGTGTATTTAGTGATCAAATAATTATTGTCCAATTTTCGTAATTTTTCATTTTTCTGGGCAGAAGTTATTTGCATTTTAAAATCGTGAAAATAAGCAAAGTGCCAGTTTTAATTGCTTATTTTTTAACATTTATGAAGAAAAAAGGAAGAAAGTGATAAGAAAAACTAAAAGTTAATCACAGGTTCTTTATATTTCATAAGGTTTTATTCAATTTAATGATTTCTCTTTCTCACATTTAGTGAATGAAATTTGCAAAATTAGGTTATTTGGCAGGTGAACTTTAAAATCCTTTTTTATTTAATATTTCTTATTAATAATTGTTTCTATCAATTTATAATAATAAAACAATTCATTCTTAATAAATTCTTATAACTTTTTTACATTTTTATAGTAAATTATGTGTTTTCTTTAATATTTTCTAATAGATGAAAATGTGACAGTTTTTACGACTTCATATACTTTAGATGCTTATTTTACAATAAATATAAAAAATATTTAAAAAATTCTTTTTGTTCGGTGATCCTAATATCTTTAACATCATTCCTGCAAAATATTATAATTTTTTAAAATTAGTCAGCAACGACTTTAGTCGAAATATAATGGAATGACTCATATTAAATGTAATGTAAAATTTTCAGATACGATAGCGTCTAGGTTTCAAATCACCAAGTATCCAACGTTAAAATTAGTAAGAAATGGCCAACCGGTGAAAAGAGAATACAGAGGTCAACGTTCAGCGCAAGCATTTCTTGATTTTATTACCAAACAATTGGAAGATCCAATCAAAGAATTTTATGATGTAAAGGATTTAAGTGATCTTGATGATAAAAAGAGAATGCTGATTGGTTATTTCCCTAGAAAAGATATTCCTCAATATGAAATCTATCGACGAGTCGCTACAAATCTCAAAGATGACTGCCACTTCCACGTTGGCTTTGGGTAAAAATTTTAATTATTTATTATTTCAGGGTTGCCACAAGTCAGGGAATTCAGGGAAAAGTCAGGGATTTTTATTAAGAGGACTGGAAAAAATTTAATTTTTAGAATTCATAAGAAAATTTGGAATTTTTGTGTCTTGTTTGCTTCGTAAACTATAAAATTACCACAAATTCTTTAAAAAAAACTTAAATTTTTTCTATTTCTAATAATAATTTCTTTTTAAATAACTTAATTCTTCAAGAACTATGATAAAATTATTACTTGCAAATCATAGTTTGAATCAAAAGTTTCAATTTGAAATTTTATAAAATTTCAATTTTGAATGAATTTAATTAGAAACCCTAAAGAACTTAAATTTTTGAAAAATTTTAATAATTCAAATTCATCAAAAATTAGTTAAATTTTTTAATGTATATTTAATTAAATATTAAAAACAGTGAATTTATAGAACAATTTTAGGTAAAAACAATTCAAAAATTTGAATTTTGGAGAAGTTACAAATGGTTTCAGAAATTCAAAAATTTTGATAAATTCCTTTGTAAGAATTCAATTACATTCAAAATTTTTTTTAAATGTTCTTAGCAAGAAGTAAATTATTTTTATAACTGTATTTTAATTCTGACCCAAAATTCAATTATTTTCAATAAATTTGATAAAATCCTTTTCAATAATTCAATTATTTAAAAAAAATTTGATAAAATCCTTTTCAATAATTCAATTCTTACAAATAATAATAAAATTCTTCTCAGGAATTCAATTATTTTCATAAATAATTAAATTCTTTTTAGCAATTCAATTATTTTCGAAAATTTTAATAAAATTCAGAGCAAGAATTTTATTATTTTCATAAATAGCAAAATTCTGCTCAGGAATTCAATTATTTTCAATAAATTTGATAAAATAATTCTAGAAGATTAAATATTTCAAGTAATAATAAAATTGTGTTCAGCAATTCAATTATTTTCAGAAGTAAAAAATTACTTCTCCGAAATTCAATTATTTTCAAAAATTTTTCTAAATTCAATGATTTTCAATATCTTCCATTTTAATAAAATTTTCCAAAAGAATTCAAATATTTAAGGAAAATTTTGATAAAATTCTACGCAAACATTTAATTATTTTCATAATTAATAAAAATTTCACAGGAATTAAATTTTTTAAAAATTTGTTGATAAAATTCTTTATGAAAATTCAATTTTAAGAAACATTCAGTTAGTCAATAAATTATTTATTTTTTTATTCAAATAATTGAATTGAATACAATTGAAAAATTTTCGTCAAGATTTTATAAATAACAGATTTCTTCATAAAATTTTAATTCTATTCAAAAATTTTAATACAGTTTTTAGCAAAATTTCAATTATTTTATTTATAATTTTCTAAAAGAACTTAATTATTAGAACAAAATTTTGATAAAATTATACGTACAAGCATTTAATTATTTTTATAAATAATAAGAATTTCACAGGAATTCAATTATTTTCAAATTTTTTATAAATTTCTTCGCAATAATTTAATTATTTTCATAAATAATAAAATAATTTATCGAGGAATTTCAATTATTTTAAATTCAATTTTAATCAAATTCTTCGAAAAATGTATCGTTATTTTTAAGAATTTTATTATAATTCGTCGAAAGAATTCAATTATTTAAAAGTTATTTGATAACATTCTTTGAGAATTTAATTTTTAAAAAAATTAAATTATTTATTTTTGTATTCCAATAATTGAATTCTCGTAGAATTTTCAAAATAAAAATTGATTTAAAATTGACTTTCAGTTAAAATTTTTGATAATAATTGAATATTAAAAGCATTACAGCGTTAGTTTTTAGAAATAATGGAGTTTTAAAAAGGTTTCAAATTAAAATCTTTGAATATCTGAATTTTATCTACGTTTAACTATAAAAATGTGTAGAATTAATTTTTTTGAAAATGTTTAATCGGATTTTTTAAAAATTATTTGAAGTTTTTATTTTCTAAAATCTATTTAATTGAAGAATTTTTCGAATAATCGAAATTTCACATAAAATTGAATTCTAAACAAATAGATTTAAAAATTCTTAAAGAACTTTTTCAAAAATTATTAAAAAGAATTGTTTTAAAGAAGAATTTTAGTTCAAAATTGTAGAAAATAATAATTGAATTGAAATAATAAGAATAAGTTTGCAGAAATTACAGTAACAATATTACAATTAAAGAAATTCGTAAATAAATATAGTAAAACATTTTTTTGAGTAAAATTATTTTTTGAGTGAATCAGAATATTCTTTAGGGTCAGGGAAAAAGTCAAAATATTTTCTGGAAAACAGGGAAAAGTCAGGGGAAATCAAAATTAAATTTTTGTGGCAATCCTATATTTAATTTCTATCGTATTTAACTTAATTCTTTTTAAATTAAAAAAAACTGTGTTGATAGAAATGTACAAAATACAATTAGTTGTATTTTGTAATTTTCCAAATCAATAATAATATGATGAAATATTTTTGTTTAACAAGCATTTGCTCCAATGAAAAGTGTGATTTAGGACAAGTCTTTTTACATTTGTGAGTAGTTATTTAAAAAAAACTGCACTGTAGCTTCTGCACACACATAATGTTGACAATTTGATCTTTTGAAATTACACCAAAATTCATATTCTCTGGTTTTGGAGTGTTAAACACTTTTCATAAATTACACGTCTTTAATGTTTGTTTCTAAATTTAGCTTTTGCTAAATGTTGTTAACAAAAATTGTTTCATGTTAATCTATGTGTGTAAAGTTCTCAACATTTATGATCAAGGATTGAAAGAAAAAAATACTTTCCCTGCCGAAAACAATACAAATTTTTTTACAAATATTTATATTTTCTTATTACTAATTAAGAAGTTATGCAAAATATTTTTATACAAAACTTTATAATTTCAATAAAATCAACGAGAGGAAATAATATTTTTCTATCTAAATTTTGATATATTTTTGTATAAAAAAATTTTTTGCACAGTTTTTTCATCCAAAATTTAAAAACAAAAATTTTCTTGATTTTGTCATGGAAAATATTTTTTCTCTTTCAATCGTTGATCATAAAGATTTAGAACTTCACTGATGTTTTAATTTTAGAAATTTATGTTTATTTTTTAATTTTTATAATGCAAAGAAAAGTTTTCAGTTTTATGTGACTAATAAAAGAATGTAGACCTCGGATAGAAAAAAAAAATTTTTTATGCAGAAAACAATAACACACTTTGTTTACAAATTTTTCATTTTTAAGTTTCCGATCAAGAAACATTGTAAAAATTATAAACGTTGTGAACTTTGCTGACGTTTATTTTCGAAAAATTACTTTAAAATATTTTCAAAAAACTATTATTATTTATAATTTTTTTATTTGAATTTTTTAAATTTCAATTGTTTTGAAATTAAAGTAAATTACTTTTTTTAGAGAATTCACTGTTTTAGAATTATTGTTAAAATCTTGGAGCAAACAAAATTTTCAGAATGTTTATTTAAAAACCTTTGTAAAATTAACTAGTTTGGAAAATTATCCAAAATTTTTTCAAGATATTCAAATTTTTTTTGAAATTTATAAAAATTTAATCCCTATGAATAAATAAGTATTTTATTTATTTTACAAAATTATTGAAGTTTCAAATAATTTAGAAATCAGGAAAATACAAAATAACAGTTTTGTAGAAACACTGAATAAAATAAACGACTTTTTCGACTTTTTTGTATCTTTTTATCGAGCGAAGTAACTTTTTTTACGCCTTACAGTCGATCCGAGGTCTGCGAATTAAGTTAAATAAAAATTTAATTTAATATCAAGAAATTTCTAAAATATTTTATTTTTGTAATTAGAGAGGCGAGCCAAGCCATGCATCCACCATCCGAACCAATCATTGTCTTCCGCTCGGATAAAGCTCTTTCAAATGACGATGATGAGATTTTCAAAGGCAATTTAAATAGTTTTGACGAACTTCATATTTGGGCTCAACAAAAATGCGTGCCTCTCGTCAGAGAAATCACTTTTGAAAATGCCGAGGAATTAACGGAAGAGGGACTACCGTTTTTAATTCTTTTCCATGCGCCCGATGATCATGAAAGTATTAAAGAGTACAAAGATACCATTGCAAATACAATGACGACCGAGAAACGTAAGTAGAAATAAGTTTTTGAATTTTTGTTTTCTTAAAGTTCTGAACGTTCTGATTTTTTTTTCTTTTGAATCAAACGAGTTTTCTCTGTTTCAAATTTAAATATTTATAAAAATTTACTAAAAGAAGGAGAAAATAATGAATTGAGCAGTACAATGTTTAATTTAGCTTTTTTCATGTTTAATTCATTAATTTGATCAATTTAATTAAATTTTACTTGGGTACTTAGTTAAGAATTATTTTTAATAAAATACAAATTAAATGCAGTAAAAATTTGTTTATTAGAACTTTCGAAACTTTAGAAAGATAATTTTTTTTTCAATTCTATTCATAGATTTCTTTTTACGATTACTAACTTTATTAATTAAATATTCATTCAAATTTACCTAAGTAAAGTTTACAACTTTATGATCCAACGATTGGAAGAAAAAAATATTTTGATTCTAAAACAATATTTTTTGTTTACAAATTTTTATTTTTCGATCGCTGATGAAGAAATATTTTTTTACAAAAAAGTTTTTAGCTAAAAATTTGAATACAAAAATATTTTCTGTATTAAATCGTTGATTGTAAATGTAAACTTCACCAAGTTTTGAATTTATAAAATACAGGCCTTGAATAATTTCGACTTTTTTGTCTTTGTTCGACTTATTTTCAAAAACTGCGACTTTTTTTTACTTTTCTTCCAAATATTGCAGAAAATATCACATTTTTAGAATAAAATGCAACTTATTTCGATTTTTATAGTGTGAAAAATAATTATAGATAAATCTTTCAAAAATTAATTTCGAATAATTTTAAAAATAATTAAATTTTAAAAATATTAATACATTTTTGAAGAATTGAAATTTTGTAAAATTAAATTGAAAATACTTGATTTTTTGAAGTATATTTTACTACAATTTTTGAAAATCAACTTTTGAGGAAGTTTCATTGCAAATTTTGAAAATAATTGAATTCACAAAAATTTTAGTAAAAAATCTTCAAGAGTAAATTTTCGAAAAATTATATTACAATATTTTTAAAAAACTAATTTTTGGAATTATTTTAACATATTTTTAAGATTCAATTATTTTCTTCAAATAAAGTAAATTAAATTAAATTCAATTTTTCAGTTATGTATACCTAATTGAAAAACTACTATCTAGTTCGAAAATTATTTTTTAATAGTTAAAGAAAATTAATTTTAAGAATTTTTTTAATAATTTTTTAAAAAATAACCTTTATAATCTTTTTTAAAAATAATCCTAATATCTTAAAAAAATAACATTGACATTTACAATTATTATAAAAAATTCAATTTTCGTACAAATAATTAAATTCTCAAAATTCGGAAAATTATTAAAAATAATTGATTTAGTAAAGAAATTTAGTTAAAATTTGTAGAAAATAATTTAATTTTGCAAGGTTTGTATTTGTAATTTTTGGAAATTATTAAATTTCAGAAGGTTTTAAATTGAAATTTTTTAAATTTTATTTCTAGTGGAAAAAGAAATAAGTATTTAAATATTTATTTAACAAAATTATTGAAGTTTTGAATAATTGGATCTATTTTTAATCGAATAGAGCGATTTTTTTGCGCCTTAAAGTCGATTCGAGGCCTGAAAATAGAATTTAAATTTTTAATTTACCATTTTTTTATTTTAACAATTTAATTTTAATTTATTTAATTTATTTGATAATTTAATTTTAATATAATTTTTTGACTTTACCACTCGGTAGTCTTAATAATAAATAAATCTTTGAGATTATCTCCTAGACAAATTTTACTCGGTATGATCGTTAATCTCAAAGTTTCATTTATAAATTCATTTAATTTATTTGTCAATTTAATTTACAAACAATTGATTAACAGAATAATTGTTAAATTCTTTAAATAACTATTATACATTATTATAAACATTACAATGTTTAAAATTATCTCAATAAAAATAATAAAAAAAATTTTCGTTTTCAGAGAACGTGAATTTTTTGACCGCCGACGGTATTAAATTCGCACATCCTCTACATCACTTGGGAAAATCAAAAGATGATTTGCCACTAATTGCAATTGACAGTTTCAAGCACATGTACTTGTTTTCGAATTTCAAGGACATGCGCATTCCCGGCAAATTGAAAACATTCCTCGATGATTTATATTCGGGTAAATTGCATCGTGAATTCCATTATGGTCCAGATCCAGAACTCGATCCAATGCAATTGCTCGCCGATCAGGGAAAGGTTCCAACAACGCCACCCGAGTCGACATTCAAAAAATTAGCGCCAAGTAAAAATAGATACACATTACTTCGAGATGAACTGTAAATTGAAAAGAAGAAGAAAAACAAAAAATGCTGCAGAGAAAAAGAAAACAAAATGAAAGAAAATCAATTTAAATGTCAGGAATGTTTAATTCTTTTTTTTAAACTTGCTGATGCCTTTTTGATGAAAGAAAAACAAAAAGTTAGAGATAAGTCTTTTTTTCAATTGTGAATCGAGAAGAAAGGAGTACTATTCACGATTGATTAATATTTAATTAATTGAGAAGGTTTATTTTCACCCCCCTTTAATAATTGAGAAGGGAATTAATTAATCGTGATTGGTAAAATTTTATTTATATATACATAGATATATATATTTTCAATGCCAGTGTTTTCGATTCTTTTGGATCGCAGTGATGAAAACTAATATGGAATTTTAGGCGGATATATTATTGTCCCCTTTTTATAAAGCATGTGTCACGGTCCATCGAGTGTCGATTTTTTTATATATATTAATAAGCAAACTCGACACAATGTATAAAGGTATAAATTATAAATTATAAATTGTAAAAAAAAACAAATAATTAGTTTGTCCTAGTGCCTCGTTTTAGAGCCGTTTGACTAAAGGTGAATGAATCGAGAAGAAAGAATATTTTCTTTTTAATCGTAATTTATTATCCCTTTTTAATTAGCTTACATAATATATATCTATATTTGTAACGCAAATTCCACTTATCCAAGAAACTCTGCCAAATTTTTTTTGAAACTTTTCAAAAAAATTTTCAATTATTATTCAATTAAATTTTTTATATGCAATTAAAATAATTTTTCATAATTGATAATTTATTACTGAAGAAAAGAAATTTTATTCGAAGAAATATATTTTTTTAATAGTTTAAAAAAAATATTTTCTTCGTAGGAATTTTTTTTACAAAACATCATTTCAAGAAAAAAAAAGAATGAATATTTTCATCGTTATTATTGTTATTGATTAATTTAAATATTGTTTACGGAATTTTTTTACTGTTGTAAATTTTAAGCTCAACTTTTAATGAAAGAATTACTTTTGTATTCAGTTGAGGAGCAAAATTGAAGTAAATTTTCTCTCGTCAATTTTCTTAGAATATATTTTTTCTAAAATTTTTCTAAAAAAGTTCTTTTTTGCAATTCTACGCTCCTTGATTTTAAAACAAGAGTTAGTTGTAATTTTTCTTATACGATAAATAGTAGGGATTTTAATATAAAGAAAAAAAACTTGTAATATTAATAAATAATATAAGAATAATAATAATAATAATAATAATTTTTAAATTCAAGCACAATATGAATGCATTTTTGTGAATAAACACTAGTTGAGAATTTTTCTTTGGTTTTTGGAAAATTATCTTCAAATAGAAAATTATTACAAAGTGTGTTGTGTGCAAGTAATTTTTGAAGTGATAGGGTGAGGGTAATTGTTTTATTTCTCAGGGGGTGTGTTTTATAGAGACCATTCCATTGATAGCATTATTAGAATCTAAAAATAAAAAAAGAACTTGCGATCGATGTATTGGTACTCGTGAAAAAAAACTATTGTATGCGTGAACGATGGTATTATATTTATGTTAATAAAGACTTTCTAAGTCAGTGATTCATACGAAAATTTTGCTTCTATTTTTTTCATCGAAAGTCCTCGACGAAGAATGATTAATAAGAATAATAGTAATAATAACAATAATTATAATAATAATAATAATAAGTATAAAAGTAGTATTAATAATAATATAGTAATAATAATTACTATTACCTCAGGTAATCAAAATTTTGTTACTATATATAAATATATGAATAAAATTTTTTCGAAAGTGAATCACGACATTGTTTCGAATGTTTCAGGAAGGTGATTTTTCAATGAAATAGAAGAAATTTACAACCCACGGAGAAATTAGAATAGAATGAGTTAATTAGATGCACATGAGATAATAAAGAAGACTAGGGAGTTAAAAAAAAGGAAGTAGCAGGAGAAACTAGACGATCCCTTTTGATTGAGAAACCTCTTCGAGATTCAATGTTCCACTGTTTGGATTAGAATAATTTGCGGATGCGTGACTTAGTATCGTTTAGATCTCATTTTTATTATGCAATTCGATTGTACAGGATCAATCTTCAACACAAAAGAAAGACAGAGGTAACGCTGAAAATTATTCATTAAATAAGTCACTAGGTTTTGTTTCTGTGAAATTTTTTTTCCATATTTTCATTATTATTTTCGTTTCTTACTTTCGTTAAAATTATTAAACTATTGAATATTTTTCTCATTTTTACAGATTTTTGTAAAATATTTAAATTTGTTGATATTTTAATAATTCTTTTTTTTCTAAAAAAATATTTTTCTCCTTTTTACAAAAATTACTTATTTTAATAATTGAAAAACAAATTTTTAAAGCCATGAAAAAATGAGAAACTAACTTTGCTTATTTTAATTTTATTTACAGAACATTGTTTTTTATAATTTAAAAAATTATTCTTAACTAAATAAATTTTTAATTACAATATTATTTCGTTTTCTTGCAAAAAGTAAACTATTAAATATTTTCCTCATTTTTTTTTTTGCACAAATTGATAAACTGTTTAAATTAATTAATAATTTTTTGTTCCTAAAGTTTCCAATGTTCAAATAAACGACTATATTTTAATTTTTTTCTTTAACAAAAATTTTATTTATTAAAAATTGTTTTTTATATTAAGCACATCATTTTTGACTAAATAAATATTCCATTACAAAATTTGTCATTTTAATTTAGTAATTTTTTTAAATATTGGGACAGAAAAAAATATTTCGTTCACTTAAACGTCCAAAATTTTTGGCAAATATTATTTTTTTCCAACAAATATTTTTATTTAAAGAAATGTTCAATTACAATATTTTTAATTCTAGTCTAGTAATATTTTTAAATATTGGAGCAAAACAACGATATTTGTATTTCTTCTTTGAATTTTAGTTTTATTCACAAAATATTGTTTTTTAAGATTAAAAAAAAATTTTGTTTAACTTCATAAATGTTCGATTACAATACTTTTTTATTTTGATCTAGTAATTTTTTTTAAAAATATACAATATTTTTAAAAATTACATTTTTTGTAAACAAAATTAAAATTAAAAGAAATAATACAAAAAATCGTCATTTATTCAAGCGTTCGACTCAACATTATTAACCAATTAAAATAGTTTATTAATGTGTGCAAAAAAGAGAAAATTTTTGTTTGAAAAACAAATTAAAAATTAGTAACCAATTTAAATAATAAAGGTATTTAATAATTTGATAATTTTTGACAAAAGAAGAAAAATATTTTTTGGATAAAAAAACAAAAAGGAAAAAAAAGAAATAAAACCAAACATTATACTTCGCAATAGTTTTGATCGTTCAAATCAACGAAATAATTTTTTGTGTCCCAATATTTTAAAAAATTACTAGAATAAAATAAATAAATTAACACTTAGGTATTACAAAAAATATTTTGATAATAAAATTGAAATTAGTAAAAGTAGCAATAAAAAAATCGTCATTTATTCGAACGTTCGACAAAACATTAGTAACCAACTAAAATACTTTAGGAATTTTTTTTTATTATTAAAAAAATTATTTTTAACTAAATAAATTTTCAAGCAATTTTTTTAACTTTAGTAATTTTCAAGTTATTGGAGTACAAAAAATGTTTCGTTCATTTGAACGTTAAACATTTTTAGAAAATATAATTTTTTACTTTTTTATTCTAATTTACTTTTATTTTTCAATCTAAAAAATTTTTCTTATTTTTACAAAAATTATTCAGTTTACAAATTTTTGTCATTTTTTGCACATAGTAACAAACTATTTAAATTGGTTAATTTAACGTTTTTTTTTTAAACAAAATTTTTCTCATTTTTGCAAAAAGGATTAAACTATTAAATATTTTCTGAATTTTTGCCCCAATTAATAAACTATTTAAATTAATTAATAATTTTATGCCCCTAAAGTTTTGAACGTTTAAATGAACAACGATATTTTGATGACTTGTTCTAATTTGAATTTTATTCACAATTTATTGTTTTTTATAAATAAAAAAATTATGTTTAACTAAATAAATGTCAAATAGCAATATATTTTTCATTTTTAGTAATTTAAAAAAATATTCGAGTACCAAAAAATATTTTGTTTATTTAAACTTTCAAAACATTTGAAAAGCTTTAAAACTTTTTTTTTAATTCGTTAATTTTCTTTTACTTTTTTTCCAACAAATATTTTTCTCTCTTTTGCAAAAATTATGGAACTATTAAATATTTCTCTCCTTTTTTTTGCACATGTTAATAAACTATTTAAAGTAGTTAATAATTTTCGTAAAAAATGGAAATAAATCGGAAAAAATGTTGTAATGTACAAAGGAAAAAGTATTTATTTATTTTTTTTACTTTGAAAAAAATTGATGACTGTCATGACAAATCTATATATTTATGTTTACTATATATAGTATTTCAGAAACTTTTGTGTAATAAGAGAGATGTGTAGGTTGGTGACCTTTCACTGTACTCTTGCAAAGAGGCTATAATGCCAAGGATGATACCAGAGAATACGTATATTTTCTTTTCAAAACATTTATTTCATTTACTTATTGATATTATCGTTTTATCGTAAACATCAATTTGTATTAAATTCCAATTCATGCAAAAGCTATTGTTTTGGAATTTAAAAGATTTCACATTTTTTTCATTCAAAAAGAAATTTAAAGAGCATTTTTGTTTTAATTTCGAAATTTTACTTTATTTTTAGCACAATAATAATTATTATTTTTATAATAATAATAAAAATAATAATTATTATTATTATTGTCAAATTAATTTTACGAGGCCTTTAAACGGATTTATTTAAAATTATTTGAATATTAATAATTTAATAATTGTCACACAAAAAATAATTTATTTTTTGTGTGACATTGGTGTGACAATAATTGTGAGAATTCTGACGGACAATTTTTCCAATCTTCGATAAATTTGATCGTAACACTCGAAGGATATTCTGTAAAGAATAAAATTCCTTGAACTGATTGAGAAAAAAATAGATAATAACGCTCTAGATTCATCGAGAAATTTGCAATCTGATATTCCTTTTAGAAAATAATAATAGGATTTTGATTGTTTGTATTGAAAGACAAGTATAAACTGTTTTAATCGTTTATTGCAATATTCAAAGAAGTTTGGAATTTAAAATGAAATATATTATTTATTCCTTTCACATATGCGGAATTCTTGACGTTCAAGTGTCATTGAACTGTCAGTTACTATTTTATTATGTTGACAATAGCACGTGCATGCGTGAATTTTATTTTGAATGGGGTGAATTTTTAAAGGGAATCGAAATTTAAAAGTATTTATACAAAACAGGGAAGGAGGTGAATCGTCCTCTACATCCTAAACTTATCCTTTTCACTTTCACTTTACTCATCTCATCGACTAAAGGTTCTCTGAATCTCCTGCCCACTCTTCAGTTTTGAACTGCTCTTATATCGTGAACTTGATTTTTCCTCGACACTCATTATCATGCACCGATTTTTCATTTTCTGCCTCATGTGCCCTGTGATTTTAACTCATGGATTTGCGCGGGAAACTTTTGTGAGTACATCGGAAAATTTATTTTTAATTCAAAAATTTTCATTATTTCAGGGTTGCTACAGGGATTTTTATTAAAAGTACTGGAAAAAAATTAAATAGTTAGAATTTATAAGAAAATTCTGAATTTTCGTGTCTTTTTTGTTTGACACATAAACTATGAAATTACCACGAATTCTAATATAAAACCTTTAATTTTTTCTATTTCTGACAATAATTTCTTTTTAAATAACTTAATTCTTCAAGAAGTATCATAAAATTCTTACTTGGAAATTAATTAAATTAATTGAATTTTAAAAGAGTTGCGTTTATAATTTCCATAAATAGATCAACTTCAAATGGGTTTAAGTTTATATTTTATCTCAATTTTGAATGAATTTAATTAAAAATTTTAAAGAACTTAGATTTTTGAAAAATTTTAATTATTCAAATTCTTCTGAATTTAATTAAAGCTTTTAATATTATTTAATTAATTATTAAAAATAATGGATTTATAGAAGAAATTTATTAAAAAAAACACTTAAAAAAATTTAATTCTGGAGAAGTTGCAAATAATTGCAGAAATTCAATTATTTTCCAAATTTTTTATAAAATTCTTTACAAGAATTCAATTATATTCAAAAAATTTTAAAATGTTCTTAGCAGAAAGTAAATTATTTTTATAACTATTTTAATTCTGCTCCGAAATTCAATTATTTTCAATCAATTTAATAAAATCTTTTTGAATAATTCAATTATTCCAACCAATAATAAAATTCTGATCAGAATTTCAATTATTTACATTAAATAATTAAATTCTTCTTAGAAAATCAATTATTTTCGAAAATTTTAACAAAGCTCAGAGCAAAAATTTTATTATTTTCATAAATAACAAAATCCTTCTCAGCAATTCAATTATTTTCAATAAATTTGATAAAATCATTCCAGAGAATTCAGTATTTTAATTAATAATAAAATTGTGTTTAGAAATACAATTATTTTCAGAAGTAATAAAATTCTTCTCAACAATTCAATATTATGTTCAAAAATTTTTAAAAGTTCTAGTCAAAAATTTCAATTATTTTTATAAATAATAAAATTTTTCTCCGAAATTTAATTATTTTCAAAAATTTGAATAAAATTCTGGTCAAAATTTCAATTATCTTTATAAATAATAAAATTCTTCTTCGGAATTCAATTATTTCCAATCAATTTGATAAAATCTTTTTGAATAATTCAATTATTTCAACCAATAATAAAATTCTGATCAGAAATTCAATTATTTTCAAAAATAATTAAATTCTTCTTAGAAAATCAATGATTTTCGAAAATTTTAATAAAGTTCAGAGTCAGAATTTTATTATTTTCATAAATAACAAAATCCTGCTCAGGAATTCAATTATTTTCACAAAATTTGATAAAATCATTCCAGAGAATTCAATATTTGAATTAATAATAAAATTTTGTTTAGAAATTCAATTATTTTCAGAAGTAATAAAATTCTTCGCAAAAATTCAATATTATGTTCACAAATTTTTCTCAATTCAATGATTTCCAATATCTTCTATTTTAATAAAGTTTTACAAAAGAATTCAATTATTTAAGAAAAATTTTGATGAAATTCTACGGAAAACATTTAATTATTTTCATAATTAATAAAAATTTCACTGGAATTCAATTATTTACACAGTTTTTTTATAAATTTCGTCGCAATAATTCAATTATTTCAAATAATAATAAAATTCTGCTCAGAAATTTAATTATTTTCAATAAATTTGATAAAATAATTCTAGAGAATTCAATTATTTCAAATAATAATAAAATTTTGCTCAGGAATTCAATTATTTTCATAAATAATTTAATTCTTTACTGAAATTCAATTATTTTCGAAAATTTTAATAAAGTTCAGAGCAAGAATTTTATTATTTTATAAATAACAAAATTCTTCTCAGGAATTCAATTATTTTCAATAAATTTGATAAAATAATTCTAGAGAATTCAATTATTTTCAAAAATAATCAGATTTTTACATGGATTCAATTATTCTGATAAATAATAAAATTCTTTTTAGAAATTCAATTATTTTCATAAATAATAAAACTCATTGTAGAAGTTCAATTATTTTTAATATAATTTTAATCGAATTTCTCGAAAAATGTATTTATTTTGAAAAATTTTATTATAATTCGTCGAAATAATTCAATTTTTAAAAATAATTTGATAAAATTCTTTATGAGAACAGGAGAAAATGGAATTTCAGTTAAAATTTTAGATAATAATTGAATATTAAAAACATTATATCGTTAATTTTTAGAAATAATTGAATTTTGAAAAGGTTTTAAATTAAAATCTTTGAAAATCTGAATTTTCCCTACATTTAACTGTAAAAAATCTGTCGAATTAATTTTTTTGAAAATGTTTAATTAGATTTTTTTCAAATTATTTGAAGTTTTTATTTTCTAATATGTATTTAACTGAAGAATTTCCGAATAATCGAAATTTCGAAAAATTGAATATTGTAAACAAATTAATTTGAAAATCTCAAAGAATTTTTTCAAAAATTATTAAGAATAATTGATTTAAAGAAGAATTTCGGTTAAAATTCTGGAAATTAATAATTAAATTAAAATGATGAAAATAGTTTTGAAGAAGTTACAATAACAATATTCTTATAATTTAGAATAATTATTTTATCACTCGATCATCTATAATTTATTATTAAAAAACATGAAGAAATCAATCACTCCGAGTCGAAGACTCGGAGGGATCGATTTGTTCATGTTTTAAAATAATAGTCTTAAAAGTTGTTGAATTTGAAATTTTTTTAAATCTTAATTCCTGGGGAAAAAGAATAATGATTAAATTTTAGGATTAGGGAAATAGTCAAAAATTTTGTCTGGAAATCAGGGAAAAGTCAAGGAAAAACAAAATTAAATTTCTGTACCAACCCTGATTATTTTTTAATAAAACTATTTTTTAATTTAAAAGACATTTTTGGCCAAAAATATCTTCTAAATTAAAAAATAAATCCAAAAACTTATTCTTTTATAAAAAATATTTTTTAATTGTATCACATCTTTTTTAAATCTCTTTTCTTTTTCCTGCAGAACACAATGCCACCGCCGGTAGTGACAAATTTCACGTGTCGTGGTCGAGAAATGGGCTTCTACGCAGACTTGGAAATGAATTGTCGAGTTTATCATAATTGTGACGATCATGGAAATAAATTCACCTACTATTGTCCAATAGACACGGCATTTCGTCAGGAGGCAATGGTTTGCGATCACGCTCATTTAGTTAAATGTCAAAGTGTCGAAGATAATCCGCCCGACAAGAGTGACGAACATTCTCGACAATCGAATGCGGACAGAAAATTTGCCGGTTTCTCTCGTTCTTTTCGCATTGGACAAGATAATAATAATACGCCTGTGAATTCAGTGAAAAACAAAAATCCCACATTTGTCCTAAGTTCTAGTGTCTTTCTACGAAATCGAAGTGATACATTGAAAAAATTATCGACTACCTATCAGAATAATGATTTTAGTTTCACGACAAAATCGCCAAATTTCATCAAAAAGGATTTCACTACGATGACGACAACGTCGACGACGACGACAATTCGTCCGTTTAATCGTAATTCGAATTTTGATTTTCTTCAAGCACCGCCGAAAAGTACTGTGAAACCAATGGAAAATCGGAATTTTTTCATCAATCGTCAGGATGTGTTTCCCAAGTCAAAAAGTCGACCTCTAATGTTCCTCGAACCGCCTCCGTTTGACGGGGGAAAACCCGTGGAATTAACGACAAAAAAGCCGACGATTAATTTTGCGAATAATAATTATCCCTATATGGAGACATTACGATCAATTCAACGTGAATCGAGAAAGGAGAATTCATTTTCAGCGACAACGACTAGACGATCAATTACCACGAAATCGATACCGAAAACTGTGACGGAAATTCCGTTTACTATATTCACGGCATCGTTGAAACCATTGGTACCCAATGAAGTGGAGTATGATCCTTACTATCCGAAATTTCCTACGTCCACGGAAATTCATTATACACTGAAAGAGCCGAGTCGTAATTTCAAACCATTAAAATTGGCAACGAGGAAACCGCCAACGGATTTACATTTGAGAATACCTTCTGTGCTGCCCGATTTGAATAGTTTGGAAGACTTGGTGGATCGAAGGAAGATTTTCTATATTCCAAAATCGAGATCGAATTGAAAGTTTTTATTCTGTTTATATATTTGTTAAATATTTAGTAAAATATAGTCTCACTGAAAACGGAAGTAATTTTGAAATAGTGTTTTTTTGGAATACCGCACAAACTCTTCTTAATTTCCTGATAATTTTCTATCGGGGTTGCCACAGGTCTAGGAAATCAGGGAAAAATTAGGAAAATTTATTAAAAGTACTGGAAAAATATCAAATTTCAAAACTTCCAGAATTACTTTTTTAAAGATATTAATTGCAATTACTTTTTTAAAGTTATTAATTCTAATTGTGGTGTTCGATTTATTATTGTTATGCAAATTACAAAATTTTTTATTTTCAAATATAAATTTTTTAAATAATTTCATAATCAAAACTTAAAAAAATTCACTTATTAAGTACAACATTAATTATTATTACTGTTCATATTTTCAGAAATTTTAATAAAATTATACGAAACAATTCAATTATTTTCTAAAATTTTAATAAATCCTTCTAAACAGTTTAATTATTTTTTTAAATAGTAAAATCTTTACAAAAATTTAATTATTTTCAAATTAATTTTAATTAAATTCCTCCAAAGAATTCAATTTTTTAAAAAAAATTTTAACACATTTCGAAAAAATTCAATTTTAATCTAAAATTTTAATAAATCCTTCGAAAAAATTAAATTATTTTTATAAATAGTAAAATTCTTTGCAGGCATTCAATAATTTTAATGGAATTCCTGGGATGAATTCAAATATTTTTAAATATTTCCATAAATTTCAATTATTTCCTAAAATTTTTTAATAAATTCTTCGAAACAATTCAATTATTTTTATAAATACTAAAATTCTTTGCAGGAATTAAATTTTTTTAATCCAATTTAAATAAAATTACACGAAAGAAATTATTATTTTTAAAAATTTCCATAAAATTCAATTTCAACAAGAATTTAAAATTCTCTAAAAATAATTCATTTATTCTCAAAATATTTTTAAAAAATTCTATATAAAAAGTAAATTACTTGCAATGCAATTTTCAAATATATTCGTCAAAAAAATTGAATGAATTCAATTATTTTTAAAAAATTATAAAATTCTTGTAATGAATTCAATTATTTTGAATATACTTAATTCTAATAAAATTCTTTAAAGAAATTCAATTATTTTCGAAACAACTTTAATTGAATTTCTCAAAAAAATTTCATTATTTTCAAATATTTCTATAAAATTCTTCATAACAATTTAATTATTTCTTAAAATTTTAATAAATTTTTCGAAACATTTCAATTATTTTTATAAATAATAGCTAAATTCTTCGCAATAATTCAATTATTTTTATAAATAGTAAAATCCTTTGTATAAATTCAATTATTTTCAAAACAATTTTAATAGAGTTCCTCGAAAGAATTAAAATTTTTAAATATTAACATAAAATTCATTTATTTTCTAAAATTTTAATAAATTCTTTGGAACAATTCTCTAAAATAAAAAGAAAATTGATTAAAAAAAAAATTATGTGTATGAATGATACTTACTCAACAATTCAATTATTTTTATAAATAGTAAAATTCTTCGCAAGAATTCAATTATTTTCAATACAATTTTAATAAAATTCTTCTTCATAAAATCCAATTGCTTTCAAAATTTTCAATTAAAATTATTAAAGAAACTCAATTAGTTTAAAAAAAATTTAAAGAAATTCTTCAAAAGAATTTGATTAGGATTTTTTAAAATTTTAATAAAATTCTTCCCGAGAAATCAGTTATTTTCCTAAATAATAAAATTTTTTGAAGGAATTTTATTATTATCAAATTTTTTGATAAAATTCTTTGCAATAATTCGATGATTTTCAATACATTAATTTTAAAATTGAAAATATTTGAAAAGAAGAATTATAAAAAAGTTTAGAAACAAAAAAGCAAACAACAACTAACTTCAAACTATATTGAACAACTTTTAGTTTTAAGAGATAAATATTTAAAGAATTTTTAAAAATACTTGAATTTAAAAAAATATTAAGTATACTAAATTTCTAAATTTCTAATTTAAATATTCTAAAATTTAAATTCTAATACTTCTAAATTTCTATTAAAAAGAATTAAATTTTAAAAATAATTAAATTAAAACATTTTAATGAATAATTTATTGGAATTTTTGTCTCTTTTTGACAATATAATTGAACTCTACAGAATATGAAATTGAATTTATTAAAATAATTTAATTCCAATATTTTAATTTCTAATTTCATAATTATTGAAAGCATTTTTATAAATAATTTTTTTAATATAAATAATTTAATTTCAAAAAGTTTTAAATTGAAATTTCAGAAAATTAGAATTTTAAATAATTTTAAATAAAAATTCTGAAGTTTTTGAAAAATTTTTATTTAAACTTTCTTGAAATCAATAAATTGAATTTTCGAATATATTTTAATTAAAAAATAATACGAAAATAGTCTGAAATTTCATAAATTTGATTTGTAATTTGATTTGTATTTTAAAATTATTTTAGGTGATCTTTCTTTTTTTCTTTGAATTCTCAGAGAACAATTTCAAAAATGATTAAAAATAATTGATTTAAACAAGAATTTTAATATAGAATTGAATTATTTTTTTGATAAATATTTTTAACATAAAAATATGATTTCCTCTTTGTTTAAAAATATTTATAAAACTCTATAATAGGAAATGATATGGACAGAAAATTTCCAAAAATAGTAGAACTGTGGGTAATAATTTAAAAAATTCGTTTATTATTTTTTCGTTTATTAAAATTTACATGGACATATTCACAATAATTTTTTCGAAAAATTATAATTTGTTTGTTTTATTTCATTACTTGAAACAAACTAGTTCACTATTCACATTTTCCTCCACAGGCACAGTCATTTTCTTGCCTAAAACATTTTTTTTTTATTTAATTACCTTTCGAACAATTTTAGAATTTAAGTTCCTCTTAAATGCAAATTATTTATTATATTTTTACTGTAAAATAACTTACAATTTGAGAGTTTTATTTTTTGAAGTGGACATTTTTTGACGGGGACTTTTTGATGTATTGTTGCAAGAAATTGTACTTATATCAGGAACGCCTTCAATAAAATATCCACAACCGCAGGAGCAGAGCTATAAAATAGTATTTTATTGGCGCATTGCATAAGATATATTGCCTACACTTATATAGCAAATGATTTTACAAAGACAATGGAAAAGACATTCATTCACAAATATCTTTCTTTTTTCCATTTTGAATTAAATTCGAAATGTTTTTGTAATTAAATAAATTCAACATATGTTAATACCTATGTTGAATTAATTATGTTGTTAATTAATATGTTCAAATTTTTAATTTATTAAAAATATTTAGGATTTTAAATTTATAAATTTACTAAAATGTAGAATATTCTCTAATTTGTACAATTAGTAATACGTAAAATTTTCTAATTTATAAATTTAATAACATTTAGAATTTTTTAAATTATAGTTTTTTAATATTTAACATTGGTAAAATTGGTAACATATTTATAATCAACGATTAAAAGAGAAAAAATATTTTTCATACCGAAAACAGTAAAATGATTTATATACAAATTTTTTTTTTCTAAATTATTAATTAAAAAATTAAGCACAACATTTTTTAATACAAAAATATACAAAAATTTAAACTGAAAAATAATTTTTTTTATAAATAGGTTTAATATTATTACAAACATTGTAAACTTCACCGACGTAATATTTGTTAGTACTTCAATAAAAATTTAAGAATTTGTTAATATTTATTTTTATTTATATTTTTTATTTATATTTATTTTTTTATTCAGAATTGATAGAGAAAACAATGTGGAATATAAAAAAAAATGGAAATTTATTTTAATTTATTTAGAATTGATAGGAAAAAAATGTGAAATTTAAAAAAAATAATGGAAATTTATTAATATTTATTTATTTAGAATCGCTGAAAAAAATGTGGAATCTTATTATTATAATAGAGAAGGTGTACTTAGTTTAAAACGTTGCGTGCGTGCATCCGAGGAAAACCATTGTTTAGAAATATTTTCAATAGTAAGCAATTTAATTGCAATTACTAGTAAAATATATAATTTGAGAATGATATCACAGAGCGTTTATCTATATTACATTTAAATAGAAACTTACCTTTTCTGCACTTGTCGCAGGACTGAATAAATTACTCGAACAGTGCGCTTCTTCCAATGATGCATTTCGATTTACATTTATTTCTCTATCTGATCTCTTCACATTTCCATCGCGACCTTATGACAAAAGATAAAATTATTATTTCTTCAAATTTACTTTTTTTTATAGAAGAAGTTCAAGAAATGTGATTTCTAAAGAAACATTCAGAAATTATATTATATAATATAACTTTTCAATGTTTAAAATTATTACAAATTATTTTAAATTAAATTTTATCTTTTTTTATCATTGAATTTTTTAATTTTCTTCTAGATTATTTTTTTTTATTAATAATTATGCTCTACAATAAGTTTTATTCGTTTAAATGAACGAAATATTTGTTATTAACAAAATTTTCATAAATTACTGATTGCAATAAAAATAATAATCTTAAATTTTTATATTTACAAACTTTATAATTAATTTTTATTTAAAGTGACGCAAAATTATTTTAATAAAAATTATATTAGAAGAAAAAGTAAATAAATCTCGAATAATCTGAACGTTTAAAATTTTAGGAATCTCAATACCTTGACAATATTGAATTTTTTCGAAGAAATTCATTCAAATTTTTCAAAATAATTGAATTCTTTCGAGAAATCTTTATTAAAACTGTATTGCAAAATAATTGAATTTCTGTGAAGAATTTTATTTATTTACGAAAATAATTGAATTCTTGTGAACGACTTTTTCAAAATTTTTGAAAATAATTGAATTCTTGTGAAGGATATTTTCCAAATTTTTAAAAGTAGTTGAATTTGTCGGCAGATTTTTATTATTTATAAAAATAATTTAATTCCTGCGCAGAATTTTATTAATTTATAAAAATAATTCAATAGTTGCAAAGGATTTTATTTAAATTTTAAAAAAATAATTGAATTCCTGAGCAAAATTGTATTATTTATAACAATACTTGAATTCTTACGAAGAATTTTACTAAAATTTTGGAATGTAATTGAATTCTGTTGAAGAATTTTATTATTTATGAAAATAGTTGAATTCTTGTGAAGCATTTAATTATAACGTTTAAAAATAATTGAATTTTTGCGGAGATTTTTGTTAAACTGCTTGAAAACATTTGATTTCCTAAGAAGAATTTTATTATTAATTAAAATAATTGAATTATTGGGATGGACTTTATCAAATTTATTGGAAATAATTGAATTCGTGAACAGAATTTTATTATTAATTAAAATAATTAAATCATTGCAAAGGATTTTATTAAATTTTTTGAAAATAATTTGATTTCAAAGCTAAATTTAATTATTCATAAAAATAATTAGTTTCTTGATAGATTTTTATTAAAATGTTTGAAAGTAATTGAATTCCTGAGCAGAATTTTATTATTCATGAAAGTAATTAAATTTTTTCGAAAGATTTTGTTAAATTATTTTTGAAAATAAATGAATTTCTTGGAAGAATTTTTATTAATTTTTAAAAATAATTGAATCCTTTCTCGATAATAATTGAATTATTTATGAAAATAATTGAATGCTTGCGATAAATGTTTGAAAAAAAATAATTGAATTGTTTTGAACAATTTAAAAGAAATTTTGGAAAATAATAAATAATAGAAAACAACAATTAATCAGTCAATTTAAAAAATTTTGAAACTTTAATTATTTAAAAATTTTATTTATTTTATTTTATTATTTAAATTAAGATTAAAAACGAATTATTAATATTTTTTTACTTATTAATAGCTTTTCAACTAAAAAAATATTAAATAAATATAAAATTTTCTAAAAAATTAACAAACATATTTTAACGAAACAAAAATTATTAAAAGTAATAAAAATGTAAATCTCACTGTCAATTATTATTCCTTCTTGATATTCAGAACAACAACTATTTTTTCCTTGTGTTGTACAATTTTGTTTTAATTTTTTCATCCAATCTGGAGAACACTGACAATCAATTTTTTCTGAATTCGTTATTTCCTTTGAAGGCAACGAGCACTCATTACAAGCAGTTGTAATTTTTTCTTCTTTACAAAAATTTCCCTCAATAATTTTCTCTTTGGATTTTTTTATAGTTTTCGGTATTCTTTTACCAAATGAAACATCTTTTTCTGTAGGTACTATTTTCATTGGCGCTGAACATTGGCATAATTTTCCAGTTTTACTAATTTTCTCCTCTAATTTTACAGTTATTGTTGATTTTTCCACTTGTTGTTTCTTATTCCCTTCACAAATCTCTTCTCTGTTTTTGAATAAATTTTTTGGTGCCATTTCGGAACATTTTAATGGTTTTTCCGGTTTGTCACAATTTATTTGTTGCTGAAACGTTTCTAAAAAGTATTTATTTTTATTTTAGTTTTTTATTTTATTATTTTTTTTATTAATTTTTATTTTTGTTTTTATTTTACTTATTTATTTCAATTTAAACGAAGAGAAAAAAAATTATGCCAGTTGAAAACAAAAAATAATTTTCATTTGTAAAAATGATAATATTAAAAAATTAATTAATTAATATTAAAAAATAATTTTGTAGAAATTGGATTTAAAAAGCGATTGTTACAGGAATGTTTTGAAATTTTTTGAAATTTTTGTGCTTTTGAAACAATGGATCGTTATTTATTTATGAATGAGTTAAAAGTAAATAGTTGCGAGAATCATCTGTATAATTTATGTTAATATCTCACCTTTCATTGCTTCTTCCCTACACATCTCGTCTTCTCTTGATTTCCAAGGCTCCTGAATAATTCAGTTTTAATTTTTAAATTTGTTAATAATTTTTTTCTTTAATGAAAAATAAATTGAAAGGGTCCTTTTCTAATTTGAAAGCCCGTTGATACTTAATAAATAAATAAGTAGATAAATAAATAAGTAAATAATTAATAACAGTAAAAAAATAATAACAATTAATAGCAAGAGTAATAATAATAATTATAATTTTTGTTATCATCTTAAAGTTTTTGAACGTTTAAATGAACGAAATTTTTGTCTATTTAAATATTTTTCAAAATTACTATATAAAAAGGACAAATAATTAAAATTAAATTTTTTCTTATAGTTAAGAATTTAATCTCTTTAATAAAAAAAAATTGTGAAAAAATACAATTTAAAAGAAGTAAAAAAATTTTTTTTTTTTATTTGAACGTAAGAAACTTTAGGAACTAAATATTTATTAAATATTTTCTTTGTAGTTAAGAATTTTATACTTTTAATGGAAAAAATTTTTTTACGAAAAAATAAAATTTAAAAGGAAAAAAATATTTTTGTTAATTTGAACGTTCGAAACTTTTTGAACATTTTTTAACTTTTTATATTTAAAATATATTTAAAATTTTAAATATATTTTATATTTTTAACTTTTATGTTAAATTAATTGTCATTATACTAAATTAAATATTAAAAAAATACTAGAATCTTTCGAGTTGATGTTTCAGCAACATTGATAAATTTTTCTTCCTTGGGAGATTTTTGAATATCCTTTTTTCTTCTCTCCTGCTTGGATGACTTGGCACATTCTTCAGTTTTCATCAATTTTCCTTTATCGTCAGTTGAACATTTACAATTTTCACATTTTAATTTTGTCGACTCTTTCAATTTGAAATTATTATTATTATTATCATCACTGTCGATTGACTTCGAAGGATAATTTACATTATGAGCTGTGTTAATTTCAAAATTTGTTACACATTCTTCTTTTTTATCTGCTCGATTATACAAAATTGAGACAGTTTTGTTTGGTTCTAAATTAATTTCTTCATTTTTTTCACTCAATTTTTCTCCCTTTTTCTCCAATAATAATTCTTGTGGTGGTATTTTTTCCGATGGAATATTAACGCAACTAGTCCATGTTTTTGAACATGAACAATTTTCACCGCATTCACAAATCCATTTTCCGCTTGGCGTTAATATATCGTTGCCCCAATCATTACAGGAGCAGGCCATCTTTAATTTGAAAAAAAAAATTTATTTGGGAGAAAAAAAGTGTAATTAAATTTTATTCAATTTAATTCAATTTTTTTAATTTTTAAATTCAATTTAATTTTACTTTTATTTTATTTTTATTATATTTTTATTTTATGCATAAAAATAATAATGTTTGGAATTTTTTAATTATCATTATGTATTAAAAAATGTAATTGTACTTGAAAATCATCAGTTGAGTCACATTTCACTTTTATTGTTTCCTTCAAATTCTTCACTCTCACAATTGTCGTCTCTAATGGTTCGATAAAATGACGCAGTTCGTTTACCTGAAAATATTTTAGATCAGAATTTACATTAAATAAACAGTTAAAAATAAATAATATCAAAAATTAATCTTTATTATTAATCACGAAATAAAATTTAATTTGCAATTAATTTTTCGAATTTAATAGTAAATTCCAATAAATAATACTTAAAAATAATTCTTTATTTAAAAAAATATTAATAATTTTTATTATTAACTTTAATTAATTACGAAGAATAATTTAATATACAAATAATTTATCGAATTCAATAATAAATTCCAATAAAAAATAAATAATACCAAAAATTAATCGTTATTTTAATAACAATTACTAATTTTTTTGTGATTAATTTTAATTGACCACGATCAATAATTTAATTTGCTAATAATTTTATGAATTGACAAATAAATTTCAATAAGAAATAAACAGTAACAAAAATCAATTTTTATTTTAATAACAATATTAATTTTTTTTATAAATTTTAATTTATCAGAGACAATAATTTAATTTGCAAAAAGTTATACGAATTTAATAATAAATTCGAATAAAAAATAATAAATAAATATTACTAGAATTTAATCGTTATCTTAATAACAATTAACATTTTGAGATTATTTTTAATTAATTACAAATAATAATTTTATTTCAAAATAATTCTATGAATTAAATAATAAATTCTGAATATAATTAAATGTAATAATAAATTAATTGACATAAAATAAATTGGAATAAGTATAAAAAGTATAAAAAGTATGAAAAAAGTACTTTAGCCTTTTGTAAAATTTCTTCAAGATGTTCAATTAAATTTTCCACAATATTTGTATCTCTTTCACGTTTCATTGGATTAATTAAGAAAATTTATTTATTTAAACAAAATGAAAATATTCTATTTTTTTATTTTGAAAAATGTTAATAATAAATGTCCTGAAAATTAAATTTTTTTCGATTAAATTTCAAATTCGCTTATTATTCATAATAATTGGCAATAACAGGAATTACAATAATAATAATTAATAAATAAATAAAATTATTTCAAAAAAATTAAAATTCTTCATTTAACGACAATTCTTATAATCGTTATAATATTTATCATTTACAATTTTTATAATTTGTAAATATTGTAATAATTATTACAATTAATAATAATTCTAAAGTTCTGAATGTACAATCGAATAAAATTGATTAATTTCTTTTTCAAATAAAATTTTTATTATTAAAACTCTGCGACACTATTAAAAAAATTAATTACGTAATTTCTAATAAAGTAAAATTTAAGTTTATTATTTTTATTCCAATCAGTAATTTATGAGAATATGTTTAATTAAATTTTATCGTACATTTGAACATTGAAAACTTTTGGAGCATAATTAATTTAATAATTAATTTATTAATTATAATTATTACAATTGACTCGTTTATCTAATTAAATAATTTATTATGCAATTAATTTGTCAGTGCGAAAATATTTAAAAACACGAAAATGAAATTAACATATTGATGTAATCGTTAATTACCTGATAAATTATTTAAATAGTGAAAGTAAGTAGAAAAAAATAAGTAAAAACACGCGTAGAACATATAATTTAATTAATTGCAATTAATTACCATTCATAATTCTAATTGTAAACATCCGTCGAGTATTTTATAAAATAATTGATATATTCCTCAATAAATCTACTTTCCTTCCAAGAAATTTTATTTTCTGTAACGAAATAAAAATTTATAACTAGAGAAAAGAGAAAATTTCTTCAAACGACAATTTTTTTTATATAAAACGATTAAAAAATTCAAATTATTACTTTTTGGTTAGAAAAAATTAATTTCTATCATTTCTAGATACATAATGACGTTTCCGGCCAAAAGAAAAAAAAAATTCGCAGATAATTTCAGACTGAATTGTCTGAATTTAGAAGACAAATTTTTGAAAACGTCAAAATTGGTCAAATTTTTTGGTGACAATAATAAAAACTGATATAAATTTAATAAAAGTTTTCTGCAAAAAAAATTTTTTAATTTTAAAAAGTGAAAAATTCGTCGTATTACATAATGTCTGATAGTAAATTGTGCAGTTCTTCGTTAATAGATAATGATAAAAGTAAAAAGGAAAGAAATAAGAAGGAGAGCTGCTGGAAAACGATTCTCAGTCATTATGAGAAAAGAAACGCTTCTCTGGAAAGGCGCCAAGCGGCTTTGATCGAGAGAGTTCGTTTTATGGAGTGTGCATTGCCAACTTTATTAATGCAGTCTGTCGTTGCTAATAAATGTCCACCTGATATGAAAAAACTGTAAAAAAAGGTAAAAAACTAAAAAATTGAAAAATTTATATAATAATAATAATATTTATGTAGTAATATAAAATATTAAATAATAATAAAATAAAACTTGTAAAAAGATTAAATTTTTTCTAATTCAAAAATTATAATTTTTCTGTTTGATGATCAGCAAGAAAATTTACAGTCTATAATTAATTTTATAATTAATTTATATGTTATAGTTTTTTTTAACTAATTTGATTTAATTAATTAAAATTTATTCTTATTTAATTTATAATATCTTTTTTTATTAATACATTTATATATGCAAATATTACATTATTCGACAGCTTAATTTCAGGTTTTTCGCATTTACTTACTGACTACGAAGAAATTCTAATTTTTTTTTCATTTTAAATAACATTAATAATGATATTAAAACAATAATAATATAATAAGAATAATAAATGATTATGATTATAATTATAATTTATAATAATAGAAAAATTGAATATAATTAACGGAAGTTAAAATTAGGTATCGACGACTTTTAGTCATTTTTTTTACAATAAACAATATACAAGTAGAAAATAAGATTCTAAAGGGCAACTTAAAATAATTACGAATTAATCGACTAGAGGCATCAGCTAAATTCTAACTCATGTCATGTACGCAATATTACAGATTTTTACACTCGGCAGCTTCTTTTTTTTTCCTTATATAAATTATACAAATCGAGTCCGCAATTTTACAACGTCCAAAAAATAAGAGAATTATTTAAAAAGTGGTTTTTAATATTTTTCAGTAGGTCAAAAAAATCAGTGGCAGTTGAAACACTATTTTATTGCTTCTAAAGTATAAAAAATAGTGTTTCCACTTCTTAGGAAAATTTAAAACGTTATTTAAAATTTTTTAAATTAAATATTAAAACTTTTCTCTCTCAGGAAAATAATTAATTTCTTTTGTTTTTTAGCGTTGCAAATAATAATCCACTTCACAAAGTTTCAACGAACAAAATATTGGATTTGATTTCAAAAAAGAAAAAATACGTCTATAAATCGATTAAATTTGCAAATAAAACAATTGCATATTTTTTTACATAAAAACCTTCCGACAAAAGAATTATTTCGTGTTATCAAAACAATTTCCAATCTTGATTAATTAGAGTCGAAAATTCGTTTGGCAAATTATTTCATAATCGACATTTGAATTATTACTAATTTAATTAAATTCTTCAATCTCCTCTTGTGAATCAAAATTAAATTAATTAATTTATTATAATTGTGAAAACGTCATTTATCAACTATCAATTATTATTGAAATTTACTACAAACGTTTAATTTTCTCTTTTTCTTTTTTTTGGGTAATATAATTAGACAGTCATTAAAAGAAACTAATCAAGATTGAGAGAATCGTTTTTAAGAATAAAACAATAGCAAAATATGAAAATTAATTTGTAGAGTCGTAAAACAATTGTGTTTAATTATTAATTAATAAGTATATAAAGCTGCAAAAAAATGTTCGCATTTTTTTTGATTCGGTATTGTAAAGTATTGTCGATTTAAAAAAATTCGACTTTCTCTTAAATAAACAGATTCGTATCTTAAGAATCACAGTTTCGTCATTTACATACGATCAGGTTGCTTCAAGCGAATACTCTTCTCGGTACTTAAATTTTAATTGGAAAAAGTCTCTATATATGGCTTTTTCTCGAGAGAAACCAAACAATATTCGAATTTTTCATTTTTCATTTTATTTGCAACAAATTATCGAAACCAGCAATTTTGTTTGCAATTCTTTTTTTCATTTCTAAAATGAGAAAACGATAGATTTTTTTATTTTTTAATCGAAAAACTTATGATTTTTTATTTCTTATCAGAAAATATTGCAAATTTTTTTTATCTTTTAATAGAGAAAATCTATAAAAAAAAATCTCTAAAATTTCTTTGTATAAAAAATTTCAATTTTGTTTATTTCTTAATAGAAAATATTTCGATATTTTTATTTCTTAACAGAAAAAATTTCGACTCTTTTTTTATTTCTTTACAGAAAATTGTTCGATTATTTTTATTTCTTTACAGAAAATTGTTCAATTATTTTTACTTCTTAACAGAAAAAATTTCGACTTTTTTATTTCTTTACAGAAAATTGTTCGATTATTTTTATTTCTTAATGGAAAAAGTTTCGACTTTTTTATTTCTTTACAGAAAATTGTTCGATTATTATTTTTATTTCTTAATAGAAAAGATTTCGACTTTTTTATTTCTTAGTAAAAAAAAATTCGATTTATTAATTTCTTAACAGAAAATATTCCAAATTTGATTATTTCTTAATAGAAAAAATTTCGATTTTTTTATTTTTTAGTATATAAAATTTCAAATTCTTCATTTCTTTACAGAAAATATTTCGATATTTAAAAAAAATCTTGACTTTTTTATTTTTTAATTCTCAGTTTTAAAAAGTTTCAAATTTTATTTATTTCTAAACAGAGAATATTTCGATATTTTTATTTCTCAATAGAAAAAATGTCGATTATTTTTATTTCTTAACAGAAAATTGTTCGATTATTTTGAATAAAAAGATTTCGACTTTTTTATTTTTTAGTAGAAAGAAAATCCAATCCTATAATTTTAAAAAGAAAGAAAATTGAATTTTTCATTATTGGAAAATTAAATTTCCTTTTTCTTCTAAAAATGATGTGATACTAAAAAATTTCCAGAATGAAAATTGAAAGTTTGTTTAGTTTCTCTCATATTTTGGAAGCACCCGACACTTATTCTATAATTTTTGTTTGTTTGTAAATCTCTTTAAAAAAATTATTACAATTTTATAATTTGTAGGGCGGAACATTACAAGAAACAAGGCACTTTATTTGCGTCTGTTGCAACGCTTTTTAAAATGCATTTGTCAGAATAAATTTTTCTTTACGAATTTTTACAAATGATTTTCTTTTTTTAATTTTTCGGTAGGACGTATACCATTTCTGGTCATCACTTGGGCTCACCAAGCAGCGCCAGCAAATTTGTCCTGAAAGAAAAAATACAAACTTCAGAATTATAACACTTAATTATTTTTTTTATTGCAATTCAGAAAATAATAATTAAAATAATAATTCAGTAAATATTTAATAAATTATTATTTATTGATAATTAATAATAATATTTACTGAATTACTATTTATCAAGAATAATATTTTTTGAATTGTTATAAAAAAAATTTAATTTAATAAAATTAGCAATTAATTGAAATATTTGCTTTTAATTTAATGTAAATTGAAAAATAAGTAACTTACACTCTAGGAATCCTTTTTTTTTCTTTAGATAAATAGTGAATTTTCGTACCTCATCGGATGCTTCAGAACAACGGTTCCTTTCGAGTTGGACAATTTTTTGTTTGTCAAGCTTGCTGCATTCGTAAAGCCATCAATTTGACTAAATGGTACCGTGAGGAAGAAAATTGGACCATCACCTCCACCGAAAGTAGATTACTTGCTGCGAAAAAAAATCCACATTTCATTACCAGAAAAAGAAAATAAAAACAAATTAACATTTTTCTCCATTCACTCAAAAGATTAATAAATATAAATTTATTTTAGAATTCATGAAAAATTAGCACTTTGTTAGAATTAATTTATGAAAATTGTCGAATTTTCTTTCTTTTTAGAAAAAAAGAAAATAAACAATTTTTTTTTCGCCGAAAATAATTTATTATTTTAAGTAACTATCACAGAAGTTGTAATTTATTTTTTACTCAGAAGTTTTCCTCTGAATGCTCAATAATAATTTAACTGTTAATTGTTTCTAAATATAAGTTTTATCAGGTAAATTTCATTTGCATGTTGAAGCCGTTAAAAAAAATGAAAAACCGCTTCCCAAGAGAGAGTTAACAAGACGCTTTAAAATTTTCAATTAACTGCACAATTTTTAATTAATTAATTTTCTCCTTTTTTTGCATATGCTTCGCTAGGAATAATTAATTAAAAAACTTGCAGTGTAGAGACAATGAATATTGTTATTTTTTTTCTAAGGAAAAAGCAATAATTCAAAGCACCATCACCAAATTACTAAAGCCTGACTACAGTTGAGGATATTAAGATTAAAAATAACTACAAGAGAAAATGATTGTCTACACGATTAATCTACTCGGTGAATTGTTTTTTTGCGTCCATTTATTATCACGATGAACACTGATTTTTAGTGTTTCGAAGAGAATTAAAGACGTTTCAGTTTAAAAGCGAGAAAGTTCGTATGTATTACGAAAATCGCAAGAGTTCCTAAAAGAAAACGTGACGCTCTGAAAGAAAATAATTTTTCACTCAAGTATTTTTCTTTTCTTTTTCAAAAATTTCCCGAATAATTTTCATCAAATAGGGGAAATTTAATTTTCAGAATTTTTCAGTATTTTTTCACTTTTTCAAAATTTTTAGAGTAATTTTTTTAACAAGTTGGGAAAAAATTTATTTTCGGAATTTTTAATTCTACTAAAATGTTAATAAATATTAAAAAGTTCAATATATTTTCTAAATTTTTAATTTATTATAGAAATTCTTAAAGCAGGCTTCGCGCTAGTTAATAAAAAATAATTAGCAAACAGTAATTTTAAAACTATCCTGATAATAAATTCGCTTTTAAATTTTTGTGTAAAATTCAATTATTGTCGAAAATTTACACTTATAATTCTTCAAAAATACGATAATTTTAAATTAAATTTCCAAAGTAAAAAGTGAATTTATTTAAAATACAAAATTAATTTAATCGAAATTTAACAAAATTTACAATTATTTCAATATTTTGAAATTCTTTTCGGGGATTCTATTATTTTCAAAAAATGTTAATTAAATTTTTTCAAAAACCTAATTTTTTCAGAATTTTTAAATTACATAATTAAAAAGATCAATAATTTTGTTAAAGAAATATTAAAATATCTATTGCTATTCACTTTTTCACAAAAATTGAAATTTTTGATAATTTCATTGTAAAACATTTAAAAATTTAATTATTAAAAAAATTACAACGGTTATTCTTTTAAAAATTAAATTATTTTTTAGAATTTTTAAATAAAATTTTTCGAAACTTTAATAATTCTTTAAAAAAATAATAAATTAATATTTTTCTAAAAATAAATAATTAACAACCTTCTACAGAAATGAAAATGATCAAAAGTTTAAATTTGAAAACCTTTTAAAATTTAATATTATTTCTAAATGTTTCTAAGCAGAATTTTATATGTAAGAAAAAAAAAATTTCATTAAAATTTTTGAAAATAATTGAATTCCTGCGAAGAGTTTTATCAAACGTATTGATTATTGAACTTTAGAGCAAAATTAAATTATTTATAAAAATAATTGAATTCTTGTGAAAATATTTATTAAATTTTTGAAAATAATTGAATTTGTAAACATTATTTTATTATTATTTGAAATATTAAAATTTTTGGAATGATTGTATCAAATTTATTAAAGATAATGGAATACCTGAACAGAATTTTATTTTTTTTTAAATTATAAAATTCTTGCTCTGAATTTTATTAACATTTTCGAAAATAATTGATTTACTAAGAAAAATTTAATTATTAATAAAAATAACTTAATTCTTGTTAAAAATTTTTTCAAAACTTTGGAAAATAATTGAATTCTTGCGAAAAATATTTAAAAAATTTTTGAAAATTATTTAATTTCTAAACAGAATTTTAAAGTTATGAAATACTTGAATTTATGAGTAGAATTTTATTATTTGTTGAAAATAATTGAATTACTGAGCTGAATTCCATTATTTATTAAAAATAATATAATTCAATTGCAGAATTTTATTATTAATTAAAATAATTGAATTATTGAGAAGAACTTTATCAAATTTATTAAAAATAATTGAATTTCTGAGCAGAATTCAATTATTTATGAAAATAATTGAATTCCTAAGCAGAATTTTATAATTAATTAAAATAATTGAATTATTTTTAAGGACTTTATCAAATTTATTTAAAATAATTGAATTCCTGAATTGAATTTTATTATTAATTAAAATAATCGAATTATTGAGAAGGATTTTATTAAATTTATTGAAAATAATTGAATTTCGGGGCATAATTAATATATTTAAAAATATTTTTTTCCTGATAATAATATTCTTAAAATTTTTGAATTTAATTGAATTCGTGCAAAGAATATTTTCAAAATTTTTGAAAATAATTGAATTTCTGTGAAGGATATTTAAAAATTTTTTAAATAATTGAAATTTCCATAAAATTCTATAAGAATTATCTTCTTTTTATGAATTTTACTTAAATTGTCAATGATTTCAATTTAACAACTTTTTAAAAATTTACCTAATTATTTTTAAAAAATAATTTAAAAAATGTTATTTTCAAATTTAATTCTGAAATCTTATTTTAAAGATTTTAACTATAATTCTTTTTTATAAATCAATTCGGTTTCTTTTTTCCAATTCTCAAAAAAAAAAAAAATAAAAATAGGTTTTAGTGTCACTTATGAAAAAAAATTTTGTTGAATCAAATAACCGATTACTTTTCTATCAAATGAATGTTTACTTGAATCAAATAATTTTTATTTAAATCAATTGAAATTTTATTTGAACCAATAATTTCAGTATTTGAAGCAAATTCCATTCAATTGACTCAAATTACTTGTAATTTGAATAAAATTACAAAAAACCGTCAAAATTGATTGATTCAAGTAAATATTTAATTGATAATGGTAAAGCAATCAGTTATTTGAATAAATTAAATTTCTTTTCAGTTCAAAATTAAAAAAAGTATCTAACTAGCAGCAAATCATAAAAAAGGTACGAAATAGAAGATCGAGAAGAAGAAAAAGGAAAAAAAATACTCGAGTGAAATATTCGAATTTCTTTCAGTTTTGCTGGTAGATGAGCGATTTTTCTTTAAATAAAATAGCGTCTGAGGGTTTTTGTTTTTGCTTTTTGTCTACAAGGGACTACTTAGACTGACCTTGGGCCAGATTCGAATCATCAAGAAGCACGTTCTCACTCAGTCTTGTTGTCCATCCCACGAAACTCTCGTCGAAGTTGACCTTCTGCATTTGTATCTTCTCGTTTGCATGCTTTACAACTTCCGAAACAGTTACATTAGTTCAGTTACAATGTCTCTTTGATTTCACTCCCAAATAATTTTTTCGTTTTTTGTCTTTTTTTTTTCCTCCTATATAATATAATTAGGTCCCGACTCTTAAGAGCTAACTATATATATATTTATAATCTTGATGATCAAGAAGAATTGAGAAAAAAAGATTATTCCTTCAAATTTAGATACGACTAATTGAATTTTTTTTGTTTTTCTGAAATGACTAAACACAAATTTCCTGATATAAAATTAGTCGCCGATTTCGTACACCGAGGTTGTCCCGCTCAAAGCTGCCGACCCTTTTCTTACTTCTCATCACCCTAACATCACTCTCTTTGTATCTAACCTTCTTGTCCGGATCTGTTTCGTCAATGGTTATCTGTGCTTCTGATTGATCCTCGTGATCCTCGTCAGAAGCTAATGTCACCTGTGACACGGCGCCTTTCGTTTCGACAATTGTTCTCGGGACTTGTTTCATCGCTTCCGTTGATTTTGCATTCCAGGGTCGAGGAGATAAATTGTCCTGCAGAAATAAATAAGTCAAATAAATTTTCAGATGTATTTATGCAATATTAATTTAATTGTTAATTATTAATTTAATATTAATTTCAATTTACACGACGTTCCTAAATTTTTGAAAATTCAAGTGAACAAAGATTTATTACTTCGTTCAATTTGAACTTTACTGCAAAATATTTTTTCTATATTAAAATGTAATTATTATCAAACAGTTTAACCAAAATTCTCCGTAAAAATTAAATTATTCTTTAAATTAATAAAATTCTTTTCAATAGATTTCAAATTTTGTTTTTAAATTCAATTTTTTCAAAAAATTTATTAAAAGTTTTAAAAATAATTAAATTGATGAAGAGAATGCAATTAATTTTATAAACAATAGGATTCTTCAAACAATTTAATTATTTTCAAACAGTTTAACAAAAATTCTCGGTGAAAATTCAATTATTTTAAAAAATAATAAAATTCTACTCAGAAATTCAATTATTTTTAAACACTTTAACAAAATTCTTCACGAGAATTCAATAATTATTTCATAAATTTAAAATTCTGTTTAGAAATTCAATTTTTTCAAAAAAATTCAATAAAATTTTTAAAAATAATTCAATTTCTGAAGAGAATTCAATTAATTTTATAAACAATAGGATTCTTCAAATAATTCAATTATTTTCAAACAGTTTAACAAAATTCTCGGTGAAAATTCAATTATTTTCAAAAATAATAAAATTCTAGGGTAGAGTGGGGTAAAAAAGCCATGGTGTAAAAAAGCCATTTGAGTTTTATTTAAAAACTATTAAGCCGATTTATCAGCTGTTTAGAATATAAATACTATTAGGTAATACGCAACTTTTGAATCTAATTTGAATGTTGTACCTAGATTAATATTGTTTTTATTGTAATTTTAATTTTTTGTTGCTTTTTTGAAAACATTTTGGTGAACTTTTCAAACATATTACAATTTGATTAAGTGAACGAATAATAAAAGTAAATGTTTGTACATAAGGAGAAAAGTATACCGAAAACGTATACAATGTTAATTTTTGGAAATTGAACTGAATTAACAATTTATTTTTGCTTTTTTTAATAACTGGTCTTGGGTGTAAAAAAGCCAGGGCAAAAAGTCCATTGAATATTTTGTGAAATTCACTTGTTTTCTATTTAAACTAACCTTCTTATTTTACAAAATGTCTCGTGTTTATTTAATAAAATAAATTAAACACGACGAAAAAGTAGTTCAAAGTGCATTAAAAAAATAAACAATGAATAAATGGTTTCAACGAAATATGTTATCTGTCGTGAAACTTGAAGAGAACTTCTAAAAAAGGTACGAAAAATTGTCAGTGCAAATCGAAAACAGGTAAACTTAATATAATTTTCAATTTTGCTTGCTAAAAACTCTTTCATAATTATTAGAATATTTTTCAAATAAGACTATTTGTCATATAAATAAAGGAAAACTATAAAAATACCTAAATTGATAACATGTTTTGCTAAAATCGTAGGGTGGCTTTTTCACCCCACCAGGTGGTGCAAAAAAGCCTTTACAGTGCTTTCGTAAAACTCTTATAACTTAGTCCTTTCATGAGATAAAAAATATTTCCGTCAAGAATTTTCAAGCTTAATAACTAAACTTTCAATAATAATTGGAAATTTGAGAAAAAAATTTTAAATACAGATTTTACAACATCAAAAGTAAAAATGTGGCTTTTTTACCCCACTCTACCCTACTCAGAAATTCAATTATTTTCAAACATTTTAACAAAATTCTGTTCAGAAATTCAATTTTTTCAAAAAATTTAGTAAAATTTTTTAAAAAAATTGAATTTTTTAAAAGAATTCAATTAATTTTATAAACAATAAAATTCTTTAAAAAATTCAATTATTTTCAAACAGTTTAACAAAATTCTCGGTGAAAATTCAATTATTTTCAAAAATTTTTCGAATATTTTTCGCAAAAATTTAATTACTTTCAAAAGTTTTAAATAATTTCTTCACAAGCATTCAGTTATTTTTATAAATAAATAATAATTATAAATTATTTATTAAAATTTATTTTAAAATTTTAATAAAACTATTTATTAAAATAATAAATAATAAAATTTTGCTCAGAAATTCAATCATTTTCAAAAATTTTAGTACAATTCTCTGCAAGAATTAAATTATATTTATATAAATAATAAAATGCAGCTCAGAAATTCAATTATTTTTAAAAATTGTAGTAAAATCTTCGAATAAATTCTATTATTCTTTATTCTCAAAGGAAAAAAAAATTCTTTAAAAGAATTGTATAATTTTTACAATTATGTATCATTAAATTCTTCATAAGACTTCAATTATTTTCGTAAATAATAAAATTCTACTGACAAATTCAATTATTTTTAGAAATTTAAATAATTTTCTTTTTAAGAAAAGAATTATTTTTAATACAATTTTTTAAAAATTTATCGAAAAAAACATTTTTTTTTTTGTTTTAATAAAATTCTTTAAATGACATCAATTATTTACAGAGAAGATTGAATCCTTTTGAGAAATTTTTTTGAAATTTTATCGATAATAATCAAATTCCTGAGAAGCATGTTATTATTCATTAAAATAATTGAATTTTTGCAAAAATGTTATTAAGTTTTTTTGTAATTTAATAGGATTTTTACTATAACTTTTTAAATACTTAATAATTTTCTAAAGTTTTAATGAAAATTCTGCTGTAAATCAATTTTTTTCAAAAAATTGTACTAGAATTCAATTCTTTAAATTCAAAAAGAAATAATTGAATGTTTTAAAAAATTTCAACTGTAACCTTTTCAGGGTTGCTACAAAAAATTTTCTTTCTTTACTTTTCCTTAATTTCTAAACAAAAAATTGACAAAAATTTAATTGAAAATAATTTATTTCTTCTAAAAAACTTTATTTAAATTTTTTAAAATAATTGAATTCTTTGGAAAAATTTTATTAAACCTTGTTAAAATAATTTATTTCTTTTCAGAAATCAAATTATTTATAACATTTATAATAATTTCTCAAAAGAATTAAATTGTTTAAAAAAATTTTAGTACATTCTATCGAAAGAATTCAATTATTTGAACAAAAGATGGAATTTTTTCGAGTATTTTTATTGTAATCGCATTGAAAGTAATTAAATTGCTGAAAATAATATTTTATTATTTTATAACTAAAAATAATTGAATGATTCAGAAAATTTGAAAATAATTGAATTTCTGAGTAGAATTTTATTATTTTTGAAAATATTTGAATTTTTTGAAGAATCCTATTGTTTATAAAATTAATTGAATTCTCTTCAAAAATTCAATTATTTATAAAAATTTTAATAAGTTTTTATGAAAAAATTGAATCATTTAAAAAAATTGTATTCCTAAGTAGAATATTATTATTTTTGAGAATAATTGGATTTTTGAGGAGAATTTGTTAAACTGTTTGTAATAAATTATTTTTTTTGAAGAAAATTAAAAAACAATAGTTAAAATAATAAATAATAATAATTTTTGTGATTTTGATTTTGAAATTATTTAAAAATTGAAGCTGGATTTTAAAAAACTTTTAAATGAAAATTTCTTTTTATAATTAATTTTTCGAAAAGTTCTATTTATAATTCTAAAAAAAATTTTTCTTAACATTTCGTTTCTTTTTTTTTTAGTAATTGAATTTTTATAAATAATTGAAAATTTTTGAAATAATCGAATTTTTCAAAAATTCTATTTAAAATAATAAAAATTATCAAATGAACGACAATATATTTTTACTAATTTTACTTCGTATTTTTTTATAGAAAAAATTATTTTGTATATTAAAAAATTAATTCCAAGGTATATAAATGTTCATTTTAAATATATTTTTCTTGTTTGCATAATAATTTTGAAAAATACTGAAATAGAAAAAAATTTCGTTTATTGGAACGTTGAAAACTTTAGGAAAATTTATAATCGAACTTTTCTTGGATTTTTTTAGAGATTAGGAAAAGAGTCAAAATTTTCTCTGGAATTTAGGAAAAAACAAAATGTACCTAATTTTTCCAGCAATTCTGAATATTTGTTTTAATTTATAAATTATAGAGAAAAAAAACTCACACGAACTGCATTGCTGGTAGATGAAAAAACACTGGAAACTTTTTCAGTGGACGAAATTTGACAAGCGGATTTTTTCTCCTCGATAATTGCTTCAATACCATCAGTAACGTCCATTGAATCGAGAGCGCCACTCAATCGTCCAACCAATTTCTCAATGTACTCCGTTTCAGTGGACGAAACACCAGGACTAATTTTATTAAGAGCCGACAAATGCTCGAGAAAAACACGATTCAATTGTGTCTGTGCTTGCAGACGTTCCTGCATTTCCTCGTATTTCTTCTTATAATCCATCTCGACACTCGACCAGGTTGTGTCCGCCTGCTTGAGAGTCTCGATAAACGCTCGTTCTCTATGTTCTAAAACAGTGATTTGCTGCCGTAGAATGTACTCCGTTTGGCCCAATTGTTCAATTCTCGATTCAAAATTCTTCAAAAGTTTGCAACACTCAAGACAACATTCTTTTGCTGCCGAGGGGGAATTCTCCATTTCTTCTCCATTCCATTGAGAGGAGAAATCAACGCCTATTTTCAAATCAGTCATTGTTTCTTGATGATTGTTCGCCGATGGAGCAACGCTCATGTTTCGCATTTCATTCTCGAGCCAGTATATTTTTTCCGTGAGTTTATAATTCTCGTCGAGGAGCTCCTCGTCTCTTTGCTTTGAGATTTGTTGCTCGTGCAAGAATTTCTCCTCGGCCTCCTCATAATTTTGGAGTCTCGACTCGAGATCGTGAATTCTCTCCTGGTAAATGGCAATTTGTGCAATGTCCACTGTCTCAGTGACCTCGGGTGTGGAACAGGTTTTTGTGTCATTCACAGGTGAAACCGGAACTTTAACGGCACGCTCTTGAATTCGGGCTCGCAACTCCTGAAGACGTTGGACTTCCTGAAGAAGTTCACCGGCCGGTGCTTCCGTTTGAGTGCCACAATTCGTCACCTCGACAACCTCAATATTGCTGTCGTCCTCTTCGAAAATTCCACTCTCCTGAAGTGATAATGGCGGTTTCTGGGGTACAGGCGACACCGGTTGGGTCAAGGTCGATGTGTATGGAATCACCGTTGCCACTGCTCGATCCTTAGGCTTATTCGATTGTTCCTTGAATCATAAAAAAATTCATTTCATTAAAATTCATTAAATTCATCAAAAAAATCATTAAATTCATTAAAAGGTTCATTAAATTAATTTAAAAGTTCATTAAATTAATTTAAAAGTTCATTTAAAATTAAAGGACTCTAAAGTTATTGCCGATGCTGAGCGTGAAAAAACATTTTTTTCCACAAGACCAAAAAAATTAAACAGTTAAAAGATTTTTCGTTGGTGAAGTTCACATCATTTAGAATCAAATTTAGATGATTTAGATTTCAAAGAAAAATGATTTCTCTATTAAAATTTTTGTTCTTTTTTATATAAAAACTATTTGTTAAATTTTTTCATCAATAATTTGAAAAAGAAAAAAATTGTAAGCAGAATATTTTATTGTTTTCGTAAACAAATTTTTCTTTTCTCAATCGTTGTTCATAAACGTTGTCAACTTCATCGACGTAAGATTTGGAATTTAAATCCAGGTGAATAACAATATTAAAATTTTCATCTCCAAAAATTCCGAAAAAAATCATTTTTGACGCTTAGCGTCGACGTCAAACAATTCTGAACGTTCAAATAAACAGATTAATTTTTTGATATAAAATATTTTCAAAAAATACTGACTGAATTAAAGGGAAAAACCGAAAATTAAAATAAATTTTTATTGAAAATTTTAGAAACAATGAAAACAAATTTTAACCCAAATAAAAAATAAAATTTTAACACAATTAAAAATTTTTTACCACCCAAAATTTTATTTTGTGTTTTCCTAATTTTCAGACAGAATTTTGACTTTTTTTCTGATCCAGGTACAAAAACATTTCAAGAGAGATTCAATTATAAAAAAGAATAATTTTCAGAAGGAACAAATTGATTAAAAATAACGGTTAGTCTAACTATTTTTAATAAATTTTCAATAATTTTAATAGAATTTTAGGATATTGCAAATAAATCAAACATTTTCAATTATTTTTAATATAATTTTTTAAGATTTCAATTATTCTTAGAAGAATTTTAGGAAATTTCAATTATTTTTAAAAATTATCAATTATTTTAATTGGGATTTTAGAAAATTTCAATTATTTCGAAAATTTTTAATTTTTTTATAAAATTTTAGGAAATTGCAACTTTAATTTTCAATATTTTCAATTATTTTTACGATAATTTTTTAAGATTTCAATTATTCTTAGAAGAATTTTGAGAAATTTCAATTATTTCTAAAAATTATCAATTATTTTAATTGTGATGTTAGAAAATTTCAATTATTTCGAAAATTTTTTATAAAATTTTAGGAAATTGAAACTTCAATTTCCAATATTTTCAATTATTTTTAATATAATTTTAACAGAGTTCAATTATTCTTAGAAAAATTTTAGAAATTCCAATTATTTAAAAAAATCTCCAATAATTTGTAATTGAATTTTAGTGAATTTCAATTATTACGCAAATTTTCAATTATTTTAAATGTAATTTGGGACATTTCAATTATTTCAAGAATTTTCAAATACTTTAAATGCAGTTTTTACACTTTTTTCAAATCTAATGAAATTCTTTAACAAATTCAATTATTTTCAATTCAATTTCACAAAATTTCAATTAATATGATGATTCTCTAATTTAATTTATTTTTTAATTAAAATATTTTTAAACAAATTCTTTTTCTAAAGTTTGTTTTCTGTTTTAAATATTTTTCAAAATTGCCTTGAAAAACAAGATAAATTAAAATTAAACATTTTCTTAGTTGAGAATTCATATTTTTTATCTTCAAAATTTTTTTTTATAAAAAAATACAAATTCTAGAACGATTATGATCAAAAGTTTAAAAAATTTTCTTATTCTTCAGAAGGGAAATAAAAAAATTTTTTGTATAAAAATTTTTTTTTGGAAAAATTTGGCTCAGAACCTTTATAAAGATGTTTTTCTAGAAAAGTTTATGCAACTTTGCTTTGAAAATAAATTTTTTCTTTTTAATCCTTGATTTATAAACGTTGTGAAATTCACCAAAGTTTGTTACGGAATTTCAAATAAAACTATTTAAAACTTATTTAACTTTTTAAATAAATATTAAATGAATAATTATTTGATGTCAATTAAAATTTTTTTAAAAATTGTAGTCTAAAACCTTTCGAAATTCAAAAATTATTTCTGAAATTTGCAACTATGGTTTTAAATAAAATCTTTTCTAATTTCATTAGAATTATTAACTTGAAGAAAGTTATTCTAGAATTTAATTATTTAAACTAAATTAATATAAACGTCAGCTTTAATTCTTTGCTACTTAATACCCTTTTACAGAGCTAGATAGTTAAAAAATAAAAATAATTAAAAATAAAAGAAATTACTGAAAAATAAAATTTAATTAAAAAGCTTAGTTAAGAAAAAAAATAAAAAGCTTAGTAACTAAGCTTTTTAATTTAATTTTATTTAACTGTTAAGAATGAAAATAAATTTAAAAACTTAGAAAACAATGAATATAAATTAAAAAGCTTAATTATGAATGAAAATAATCTAAAAAAGCTTAGTTAAAAATAATGAAAATAAATTAAAAAGTTCAGTTAAAAATGAAAATAAATTAAAAAGCTCAATTAAAAATAAAAATGAATTAAAAATGAAAGTAAATTAAAAAAGCTGAGTTAAAAAAGAAAATAAAAAAGAAGTTTAGTTAAAAACGTAAATAAATTAAAAAGCTCAGTTAAAAATAAAAATTAATTAAAAAGCTCAATTTAACAGTAAAAACGTGATTTGTCAACAAGCAAAGAAATCGGCGACCCCCCTGGACTGAAAATAACTATTAAACTAATACCGGTTTTTTGCCAGCGCTCTCATACGCACACATCATTTGATTTGCCAGGAAAAAATTAAGAGGAGAGAAAAATTAACAACTTGCGCTGGGAATTATTTCAATCATTAAGTCATATAATCGGATATTTAAAATGGACATATATCTATATAATTTGAAAAGTCGTTTTTATAAAACAACTTTCCATAAACACTGGGACGACGATAAGGAAGATGTTGGACTTTTATGGTTCCTCTATATACTGCGCTTGTACGTGGACACTCGTGCATAACATAATACATAGACCTGAGCGAAAGTCACTGTTTAATTGGCTTGAACTAATGGCCATAAGGTCTTTAAACCCCGTGGATGAGGTAAATTATTAAAAAAAAAAAGAGAGAGAGAAAAGGAAGAAAGAAAGAAGGAGAAAAATCAGATCATACTTTGTAGAGATGAATTGGTTCCGGTGATACAATTCCACTGTCGGCTGGATCTGGAGTGTCCCTTTGATTAGGCGTTTCCTCCATTTCAAGAATACGAAATTCCAAGAGTTCATTTTGCTCCCTTAATTCCGATATTTCGGCGATTAAATTTGATTCACGTTCCTCGGCGTCTCGTAATTTGTCACTTAGCGCTCGTTTACTGTTCTGACTGCCTCTGGTCTATAAAGAAAAATAATAATTTATTTTAATAATTGATAGTTAAAAACTAGAATTATTTCAATTGAAATTTAAAACTTTGTAAATTTAAAAAAAATATTTTTTTCTTCACAAATTTTTTTTTGTTTTATTGTTTTTATTTTTTACAGCAAAATTTTACGCGCGAAACGAGATATTTAATTCATTATTATAAATTTTTTAAAATTTTTTCATTTCAAAATATCAGCTTTAATTCTCAAATTATTATGAACAAAAAGTTTTGAACGTTCAAATGAACGAAATATTTTTTGTTAAAAATATTTTCATAGATTATTGATTACAATTCAAATTAAAAACTCAAATTTTACATTTAGAAACATTATAATTAATTTGCTTAATAGTGACGCAAAATTATAGTAATAAAAATTTAATTTGAAGAAGAAATAAATAAATTTCGTTCATTTGAACGTTCAAAACTTTAACCTCCTAAATTATTTCAGATTCAAGATTTGAAAAAAATCACATATTAACTAAATTAATTATTGATATTTTCTAAAATTAATAAAATTATTCGCATGAATTCAATTATTTTTATAAATAATAAACATCTTCGAAAGAATTCAATTATTTTTAAAAAATATAATTTCTTGAAAAAATTCAATTATTTTTAAAAATAATATAATTCTTCGCAGGAAATTTAATTACTTTCAATTGAATTTAAATGAAGTTCTCAAAAAAATTCCGCATTTACTTTCAAACGTTTTGCAACAATTCTTCATAAAAATTCAATTATTTTGAATACAATTTTAATTTTTAACTAAATTCCTCGAAAAAAATTATAATTTTATTTTCAAAAATATAATTAATACCTATAATTTCCATAATATTCCTTGAAAAAATTCGATTATTTTTAAAATTAATATAATTTTTTGCAGGAATTTAATTACTTTCAATTGAATTTAAATGAAATTCTCAAAAGAATTCCGCATTATTTTTAAAAATTTTGATAAAATTCTTGGCAAGAATTTAATTATTTTCATAAATAATAAAATTGTTCGGAGGAATTTAATTATTTTTTAATACAATTTTCATAATATTCCTTGAAAGAATTCAATTATTTTTTAAAAATATAATTCTATAAAAGAATTCAATTATACTTAAAAAAAAATTCATTGAAAGAATTAAGTTATTCTTCAAAAATAAAATTCCTTGAAAAAATTCAATTATTAATATAATTCCTTGATAGAATTCAATTATTTTTAAAAAATATAATTTCATCAAAAAATTTTGATAAAATTTTTTATTAGAATTTAATTAATTTCATAAATAATGAAATTCTTGGAAGGAATTGAATTATTTTCAATAAATTTCATAAAATCCTTCGCAGGAATTCAATTATTTTAATTAGTAATAAAATCCTGCTCAGGGATTCACTTATTTTCAAAATTAAAATTAATTAAAGGAATTCAATTATTTTTAACAATTTTAACAATTTTCTCCAAAGACTCAATTATTTTCAAAAGTTTTGATAAAATTCTTTATAAGAAAAAATCCTTAAAAGGATTGCATAATTTTTTAAAAATATAATTTCTTGAAAAAATTCAATTATTTTTTAAATATAGGTATAATTTCTTGAAAGAATTTAATTATTTTTATAAATATTAAAATTCTTTGAAGGAATTCGATCATTTTCAAAAATTTCATAAAATCCTTGAAAGAATTCAATTATTTTTCAAAATTTTAATAAAATTTCTTGATATAGAATTCAATTATTTTCAAAAAGTTTAATAAAATTCTTTAGATGAATTTAATTATTTTCAGTACAATTTTAATTAATTTCCTTGAAAGAATTTCTTTCTTTCTTTATAAGAAAAAATCCTTAAAAGGATTGCATAATTTTTAAAAAATATAATTTCTTGAAAAAATTCAATTATTTTTTAAATATAGGTATAATTTCTGGAAAGAATTCAATTATTTTGAAAAACTTTTAATTAAAATTCTTTATTAGAATTTAATTATTTTTATAAATATTAAAATTCTTCGAAGGAATTCGATCATTTTCAAAAATTTCATAAAATTCTTGAAAGAATTCAATTATTTTTCAAAATTTTAATAAAATTTCTGAAAAGAATTCAATTATTTGCAATAAAAATTTTAATAAAATTTCTTGATATAGAATTCAATTATTTTCAAAAAGTTTAATAAAATTCTTTAGATGAATTTAATTATTTTCAGTACAATTTTAATTAATTTCCTTGAAAGAATTTAATTATATCTAAGTTTTTATTAAAATTCTTCGAAACAGAATTCAATTTTTGTTTTAAATTTTAATAAAATTCTTTCCAAGAATTAAATTGCTTTAAAACAGTATTAAATCAGTAACTTACCAATAGACTTTATAATTTGAAGTGAATTTCAATTTTCGACCACTTGATTAATTATATCATTTAATTGAATTTATACTGCTTCAAATGAACTTTTTCTAATTTTCAAGTTAACATCGTTTGGCAATATCCTTTAAGAAAATTGACGAAAATTTTAATCACTGTCTTTGAAATCAGACATTGATTTTTTAAAAATTTAAATTAATTTCTTTATTATATTATTTTTGTAATAAACTTTTTTATGAAATAATGATGAAATTAATAATATTTGATTCAAATAACCGAGTAATTGACTATTATCAAATGAATATTTATTTGCAGCAAATAATTTTCATCTACCTCAATTAAATGGTATTTGAACCAATAATTTCAGCATTGGAAGCAAATACCATTTAATTAAATCAAAAAATCATTTGATTAAAATTTAAATTAAAAATTATTTGATTCCAGTAAATATTGAATTTAATAGGTTATTAAAAATATTTTCATAAATTATTGATTGGAATTATAGAAAATAAAAATTGATATTGATAAAAAAAAAAAAATTGTTGTACCTCTTGCAGGAGGGCCTTCTCCAAATCTCGAACCTGACTTTTGGCGTGCACCAATTCACGTTGTTCCTCGAGTAATTTCGTTTGTAATTCCTCGACCTCGAAGAGAAGCGACTCGTATGCCTCTCGTGTGACGCCATTTGCCTGCCATTGGCCGCATCCCCCAGGTTGGGGTGAAAGTGACGACGGTGCACTTGAAAGTGCGCTATCACCTTCATTTTCCTCTTCGTCGTCAACTTCCGCCACTGGTTCCAGCTCCAGCCATTGCTTATAAAATTCCTCCTTTCTCTTCTTATTCGACAACTGATCCAATTTACGTTCTTTCTCCTAGAAAACAAAAACAAACAAAAATATTTTGAAAATTTTTTTAAAAACGTGCAAAAAAAATTTTAAAAAGTATTTTTATCCGTCCTTTAATAATAATATTTTTATAAATCAGAAAATTCTATTTTACTCGAAAGAATTCAATTATCTTGATATATCGAAATACTTCACCGAAAATCCAATTATTTTCAGGTATTTTAATAAAATTCTTTGCAAAATTAAATTATTTTCATAAATAACAATATTCATCACAAGAATTCAATTATTTTCAAAAATAATAAAATTCTTCACAGACATTCAATTATCTTCAAAAAATTTTTTTAAACTGCTCGTTAAGAATTCAATTTTTTTTTAAATAGCAATATTTTTCAGTGAAATTCAATTTTATTCAAAAATGTTAATAAAATTCTTGGCAAAATTTCAATTATTTTCAAAATTACCCTCAATTCAATTATTTTCAATATATTAGGTACTATTTTAATAATATTTTCCAAAAGAATTCAATTATACAAAAAAAAATTTAAATAAAATTTTACGCAAACATTTAATTATTTTCATAATTATAAATAATAAAAATTTCACAGGAATTCAATTATTAAAATTTTTTTTATAAATTACGTTTCAATTTTTCGAAAGATTCTTATAAAAATTAATTTAAAAATGAATTTCAGTTAAAATTTGAGATAATAATTGAATATAAAGAGCATTATATGTTTAGAATTGAATTTTTGATAGGTTTCCAATTGAAATCTCTGAAAATCTAAATCTTTTATACTTTTAATTAATAATTTTGTAGAACTAATTAGTTTCAAAAGTTTAATTTCAATTCTGCTGAAATAAGTTGAATTTGTAAATATATCTATATTTAATATTATTTCAAAAATGTTAACGCAATTCTTCGAAAGAATTCAATTGTTTTGTTATAAATATCGAAATTCTTCAACGAGAATCCAAATATTTTCATCAATTTGAATAAAATACATTGCAAAATTCAATTATTTTTATAAATATTAAAATTCTTTTTAGGGATTCAATTATTTTCATAAATAATAAAATTCTTTTTAGAAATTCAATAATTATCATAAATAACAAAAATCATCGCAGAAATTCAATTATACTTTTTAATACAATTTCAATTAATTTTCTCAAAAAATGGAAATTCTTAAAAATTTTATTAAAATTTATTCAAAAAATTCAATTATTTGAAAATTTGTTTATAAAATTCTTTACAAGAATTCAATTTTAAGAAATATTCAATTATTTATTTTTGTATTTAAATAATTAAATTCTTGTCGAATTTTTTAATAAAAATTAAATTAAGAATGAATTTTAGTTACAGTTTTTGCTTTTTGATAATAATTGAATATTAAAAGCATTTAGAATTAATTATTACAAGAAATTGAATTTTCAAAATGTTTTAATCAATAGATTACATTTCACTAAAAATAAGTAATTTTTTTTTTACTAATTTGAATCATTGACTTTTCAATAATTTGAATTTACTAATTTAGAGTTCAAATATTTTTCGAAAAAATCAATTTACTGTATTTCTTAATTAACAACTTGAAAAAGAAGAATTTGTAAAAAAAATTAATTATTGTAATTGTCATTATTATAATTTTATTAATATTAATATTATTATTATCATTTATTATTATTATTATTATTATGATTATTATTAAAATTTAAAATTAATATTTGTAATAATTAAATAGTATTAATTTAAATTTATATAGTAACTAATACTTATAATAATTTATTATTAGTTTAGTTATTATCCTTATTACTACAAATATTAATAAATAAAAAAATTGTTCTTTAATACTCTGCTTTAATTATACAATATTCAGAGAAAAATTTCTAGTTCACACAGTAAGAAATTTTTAATCTTCCTTTTATATATACCATATTTGTGGAGTGTAGTTTGAAAAAAATACTTTCTAAATGAAGTGCAATATTGGAATTTGAATTTTCAAGCTTCATTTCCATACAAATGAGCCTGGTGTAACGGAAAAGTATCATTTCCTTCGTGGAACGATTATTTTTTTTTTCTTCTAAAGGACGAGGAATAAAACTCACAAGTTGAAGAGCGAGGTTCCCAGAGAGTGGTTAAAATAAAAAAAAATATTTATAGCCAATAATGACTTACTTGACGAGGAAGTTCAAAATGCAAAACGTACTGAACACCATCTGCCATTTTTTTCTCTTTTAAGCGAAATTAGAACCAAAAACTATTAAAGAACTACTTATTTATTTGAAAAATTTTAAGGCAATTCTTCGAAACAATTCAATTATCTTGATAAATAACAAAATTCTTTTCAGAAATTCAATTATTTTCAGGAGAATTTTAATAAAATTCTTTGCAAAATTCAATTATTTTCAAAAGTAATAAAATTCTTCGCAGTAATTCAATTATTTTCAAAATTTTTTTTTCTATTCTCATCAATATTTCAATTATTTTTGTAAATATAAAATAGAAAAATTCTTCATCAAAATTCAATTATATTCAAAAATTTTTATTTTTTAAAATTTTATTTTATTTCTTGACAAAATTTCAATTATGTTCAAAAATTTTTTTTTCAATTCAAAGATTTTCAATATCTACTATTTTCATAAAATTTCCCGGAAGAATACAATTATTTAAAATATAATTTGCATAAATTTTTTCGAAAAAAATCAATTATTTAACAATTTTTTTTATAAATTGCTTCGCAATAATTCCATTATTTTCATAAATATTAAAATCTTTTCATGGATTCAATTATTTTCATAAGTAATAAAATTCTTTTTAACAATTTCATTATATTATAAAAATTAAAGCTCATTGCAGAATTTCAATTATTTTTAATACAATTTTAAACTGAATTTTTCGAAAAATGCAATAATTATTCTTAAAAATTTTATTAAAATTCGTCTAAAGAATTCAAATATTTAAAAATTTGTTGATAAAATTCTTTATAAAATTTTCGTTAATTTTTTTTATTTTTAACTTTTTATCCACTATTATTGTTATTACTTTCTAAATCTAAATTAGTGCGAAAGATCGTCTACTAATTAAAAAAAGTAAAATTTTCTATTCTAATTCTTAGTAACTTTCCACAAAAACACTTCATTAAAAATTTTAAAACTACAAATTGAAATAGTAAGATTTTCTAATTTTTAGTCAAATTTGTACTAAATTTAGTACTAATTCGGATTTAGAGGAAAGAATTAGTGGAAAGTTTTTCTGCTCTCTAAATTTGAATTAGTAAAAAATTGTCTATACTAATTTAAATTAGCAATAATTTCTAAAAATCATTAGTAATTTTTAATTAAAATTTCAGTAAAATATTTGAAACTACTAAATGAAATAATAACTAATAAATGAAAATTAATAAAAAAAAAACGATTAATGAAAATTTAATAAGTGGACGACATTTCACTAATTTAAATTTGGAGATTGACTTGAATTATAGTGAATGACTTTTCTCCAATTTAAATTGAGAGAGTATTATTATTATTACCAGTATTATTTATTTTTTTACTATTATAAAATATAAGTAAAATGTAAAAAAAAGAATTTTTTTTCTAATTAGTCAAAAAGAAGGTTTCTCGCCCAACCGTGACGTTTAATAGAAGAAGAAAAAATGGATATGTTTCTGTATTTAGTTGCAAACGTTTAAGAAACTATACAAGACAACCAATTGGGTTTCGTTTTTTTTCTCTTTTTTTTGCGGTGTAAACATGATTACGCGCGACGACAATGACGATAATATGATGATGGTAAAATTACCTTGACTGCCTGCCTGAGTACCTCTATGGCCTCCTGCTGTTCGACCGCGAGTTCCCGAAGACGTTCCACCTCAGCCACAGCTTCACACTCTCTTTTACATAAATCCACCTGAAAAAATTTCCAAAGCACTTAGCGACACGTCAATATGATGGAAAAAAAGCCAATCATAAATCTCCCTACGACTGATTATCTTACTTTCCACGAATTTATCATTCACCTCTCAAAATCTAAATTATAGTGAAAAATATTAACTAGGCAATTGAAATTAGTAAAAATTTTTAATAATTCGAATAAGTAAGCAAAAATTACAGGATTGCCTCAGTTTAGAAAAATAAGGGAATTCAGGGAAAATAGAATTGGTCATCAGATAATTTTATTAAAAGTACTGAAAAAAAATAAACTTTTAGAATTTATATAGAAAAAATCTGAATTCTGGTGTCTTATTTGTTTGCCTCATGAACTATAAAATTACCACGAATTCTAATATAAAACCTTCAATTTTTTCTATTTCTGACAATAATTTCTTTTTTAATAAACTTAATTCTTCAAGAACTATTATAAAATTATTACTTATAAATAAATTATTAAATGAATAATTTTACTTAAAAATTTCAAAATTAATTGGATTTCAGAAGAGTTGCGTTTACAATCTTCGTATATAGATGAACTTCAAAAGGTTTTAATTTGAAATTTTAGAAAGTTTCAATTTTAAAAGAATTTTATTAGAAATTTTAAAGAACTTAGATTTTTGACAAATTTTCATAATTCAAATTCTTATTTAAAAAATTTTATAGTTATTCTTCGAAAGAATTCATTTATATCTTGATAAATATGAAAATTCTTTATCGAAAATTCAATTATTTTCAGGTATTTTAATAAAAGTCTTTGCAAAATTCAATTCTTTTTATGAATAACAATATTCATCACATAAATTCAATTACTTTCAAAAGTAATAAATTTCTTCGCAGAAATTTAATTACTATCAAATTTTTTTTTTAATTCTCGTAAAGATTTCAATTATTTTTGTAAATAACAAAATTTTTCAGCGAAATTCAATTATATTCAAAAATTAAAATAAACTTTTTAGCAAAATTTCAATTATTTTGAAAAAATTTGGTCAATTTAATGATTTTCAATATCTACTGTTTTCATAACATTTTTCAAAAGAATTCAATTATTTAAAAAAAAAATTTCACAGGAATTCAACTATTTCAAATAAAATTTGTATACATTTAAAAAAATTAATTTAATTATTTTCATAAATATTAAAATTCTTTTTAGGGATTCAATTATTTTCATAAATAATAAAATTCTTTTTAGAAATTCAATTATTATCACAAATAATAAAAATCATCGCAGAAATTCAATTACTTTTTAATACAATTTTAATTAATTTTCTCAAAAAATGGAAATTCTTCGAAATTTTATCAAAATTTATTCAAAAAATTCAATTATTTGAAAATTTGTTTATAAAATTCTTTAGAAGAATTCAATTTTAAGAAACATTCAATTATTTATTGTTGTATTTAAATAATTAAATTCTTGTCGAATTTTTTAATAAAAATTAAGAATGAATTTTAGTTACAACTTTGGTAATAATTGAATATTAAAAGCATTATAGAATGAATTATAACAAACAATTGAATTTTGAAAACTTTTCAATTTCAAATATTTAAAAATATGAATTTTTAAACTTTTAGTTAACTATTATGTAAAACTAATTTTTTGAAAAAGTTTAATTGAAATTTTTTTTTTAATTGAGGCCTTGGATCCAATAACTCGCCCGACGCTCGGAGGAACGCGCAACTGCCAGTCAGTGAGCAGTGAGCGCCTCTGCGCCACTCACTGCTACCCGACTGGTATTAGCGCGTGTCTTCGAGCGTCGGGCGAGTTATTGGATCCAAGGCCTCAATTATAAAAAGTTTTTATTTTCTAATATATTTATATTTAATTGAAGAATTTCTGAATAATCGAAATTTTGTAAAATTAAATTGTAAAACAATTGGATTTGAAAATTCTCAAAGAACTTTTTCAAAAATTATTAAAAATAATGGATTTATAAAAGAATTTTAGTTTGAAACACTAAAAAAATTGAATTTTGTAGAAGTTTACAAATGATTGCAGAAATTCAATTATTTTCAAAATTTTTGATAAAATCCTTTACAAGAATTCAATTATATTTAAAAATTTTAAGAATGTGATAAAATACTTTTCAATAATTCAATTATTTCAACTAATAATAAAATTCTGATCAGAATTTCAATTATTTTCATAAATAATTTAATTCTTCTTAGAAAATCAATTATTTTCGAAAATTTTAATAAAATTTAGAGCAAGAATTTTATAATTTTTAAAAATAAAAAAATTCTGTTCAGGTATTCAATTATCTTTAATAAATTTGATAAAATCATTCCAAAAAATTCAATTTTTTAATTAATAATAAAATTGTGTTTAGAAATTCAATTATTTTCAAGAATTTTAATAAAATTCTGGTAAAAATTTCAATTATCTTTATAAATAATGAAATACCACACAGACATTCAATTATTGTCAAAAATTTTAATTGAATTTTTTGTAAAATTTAATTATTTTCAAAAATTTTCCTCAATTCAATGATTTTTAATAAGTATCTTCTATTTTAATAAAGTTTTCCAAAAGAGATTCAATTATTTAAGAAAGATTTTGACAAAATTTCAATTATCTTTATAAATAATAAATTTTTTCTCCGAAATTCAATAATTTCCAAAAGTTTTAATAGAATTCTTGTTAAAAATTCAATTATTTAAAAAAAATTTTGTCAATTCAATGAGTTTTAATATCTTCTATTTTAATAAAATTTTCCAAAAGAAATTCAATTACTTAAAAAAATTTTTTAATATAAAATTCTACGCAAACATTTAATTATTTTCAAAAAAAATAATAGAAATTCCACAGGAAGTCAGGAATTTAATTATTTCGTATAATTGAATTGTAAATAAATGTATTAAAAAATTATCAAAGTACTTTTTGAAAAATCATTAAAAATAATTGATTTAAAGAAGAATTTTCGTTAAAAATTATAGAAAATAATAATTGAATTAAAATGAACATAATTTTGAAGAAATAACAATTTCAAAATGGTTTGAATTTGAAATTTTTGAAAATCTTAATTTCTATTATATGGAAAAATAAATATTTACAATTAGAAAGAAATTCTCAAATAAATGTATTAAAAAAATTTTTTAAGTGTTTTATTATTTTTAGAGGGAAACAGAATATTTAATTCTTTAGTGTCAGGGAAAAAGTCAACATTTTGTCTGGAAATCGGGGAAAAGTCAGGGAAAAACAAAATTTAATTTTTGTGACAAACCTAAATTAGCTAATTTGAATAACTAAAAATTTCCTCTCTATATAAATCAAAATTAATAGAATTCTACTAATAGATATAGTAAAATATTATTATTCCTTGTAAATAAAATCAATATCATTTTATATAATAAAAACAAATTACTGTTTTTGTTTGTATACACAATTTTTGATTTTATCATCGGTGCATTAAAACTCAATAGAAATAAAGTACAACTAAAATCGTGTTTATAATCTAATTAATTTAATGAGTATTATAAAACAGTGCTTCTAGAGTGAATTTAATGCTCGAATAATTATCATGTAAATGTTTTACGACTTCATTTATATTTACTGTTTTTACAACTCGTATAATTTGATTTATATGCAGTCATTTTAAGTTAATTCATTTTATGGATTTAGTTTTATTTCTAAGTATATATTTTTTTTATTTTATCGACGCATTGAATACATGAGTGAATATAAATATATATATACGAATTATTTCATACATGTATTTAGATATTTATATGTATCTATAAAAATATGTGTATTTATGTACTCACAGCATGTTCGCCGTTAGGAATTTTCTCCTCGATGCGTGGCGTCAATCGAATATGATGATTTCTCTCGCTCTCCCTTAATTTTCGCATCTACAACAATGAAAAAAAGGAATATTCATCAGCAATTAGTTTATGATCGATTGCTATCATCTTTAATCATGTGATACATGTTCCATTATAAACCTTACATTATTATATTATATCTAGCGAAATTATCGACAGTTTCACATTCTAATTCACTTGGGAAATGATTGATTGTGCTCATTGGAGAAATTTTGTCTGTGTATTATGTATATTACTCGTTCCTCTTACACTTTCATGAAAGTTAAATATTTCTTTTAACACGAATACAAACAATGAATTTTATTATAGGCATCTAATTATGAACATAATTTCACAAAAAAAAAAAAAATAATAACTTTCTATTGATTTCTTATCAGATTTGTCACGAGACATCAATTTTCTAATTATTTTTCAACAAGTTTAGAATATATTTTTTTTTATTTTGTCATTTCATTTTCAAATTATTATTATTAGTTATTTAGTTCTAGATAATTATTAGTTTAATAATTTATTTAGTAAATATTTTTGTAATTATTTCGAGTTATACTTTAGTAATTATTTTTTTAAATCTAAAATTATTAAAAAGAAATAATTTTTCGTGGAAAATTTATTTTGTTATTTCATTTCTAAATTATTATTAGTTATTTAGTTTTTGACAGTTATTAGTTATATATATTTTATTAATTATTTTTTATAAATCTAAAATTATTAGAAAGAAATAATTTTTCCTGAATAATTCTTTTTCAGTTGCAAAAGCAATTGAAAATAAATGAATTGAAATAAAATGCATTTTCAAATCTAAAATAATTGAAATAAATCAATTTTCTTTCTGCAAGTAAATTTTTTAGTCCTAAAAAAAGATTGCAAATTAGAAAAAATAATTTATTTTCAAATGCGAATTAAGTAGAATAAAAGAATTTTATTTATAAATAAATTTTTTCAGTCATAAATGGCGATTGAAAATTAGAAAATAAATTATATCTTCTATTGAAATATACAAAATAATTTAATATTATTTAACTATAATCTAAAATAAGTAAAATGAAGCAATTACTTTCTGACAAATTTTTTAATCACAAAAATAATTTTAAACTGTAAAAAGAAAAGTTTATTATTAAATTTGAAATAATTAGAATGGAATATTATTGGGAAAAAATATTTTAGTCATAAAACAATTGTAAATTAGAAAAAAATCTATTTTCTAATATAAAATAAATAAGAAATTTATTTCAAAAAAATCTTTTCGGTTATAAAAAGCGACTGAAAATTAGAAAATAAATTTTTAAATCCAAAATAAATAAAATAAAACCATTTTTTGCTGCTACATTTTTTTTAGTTCCAAATATATTAAATTAAAAATTATTAAAATTTATTTAAAAAATTTTTAATAATTAGAAAGAAAAAATTTTACTTGGAAAAAATTATTTTTCGTCATAAAAAATTACAAATTTGAAAAAATAATTTGCTTTCAAATATAAAATGAGTAGAATGACAGAATCTTATTTAGAAACATTTTTTTGTCATAAAATAGATTGAAAATAAAAAAATAAAATTTATTTTCCGATTTAAAATAAATAAAATGAAACAAAATTTGCTTCTGTCAAATTGTTTTTTAGTCGAAAAAGATATTGAAAATTAGAACTAAATATTATTTTCAAGAATAGTTTCAATACTTTTTTATTTATGTCAAATCTGTTTTTTCAGTCGCGAAATAATATGAAAATAAGAAAATAAAATTTATTTTGCAATCTAAAATAAATAAAATCAAATTATTTTTTTCAATCAATTCTTTAGTCACAAAAGATATTGAAAATTAGAAAATAAAATTCATTTTCAAACTCAAATTAATTAGAATGAAAAAATGTTGTTTAGAAAAAATATTTTTAGTTCTAAAAAAATATTGCAAATTAGAAAAATAATTTATTTTCAAATGTAAATTAAGTAGAAGAAAAGAATTTTAATTGAAACAAATTTTTTAGTCATAAATAGCTATTGAAAATTAGAAAATAAATTATATTTTCAAATCTAAAATAAATAAATTGAAGCAATATTTCTTTCTGCCAAATTTTTTAGTCACAAAAATAATTTTAAATTGTAAAAAAAAGTTGAGGTATTATTAAGTTTGAAATAATTAGAAAGAAATAATAATTGGAAAGAATATTTTTAGTCATAAAAAAATAGTAAATTAGAAGAAAAAATGTATTTTCTAATATAAAACAAATAAGAAATTTATTTCAAAAAAATCTTTTCGGTTATAAGAAGCGACTGAAAATTAAAAAATAAATTTCCAATTCTAAAATAAATAAAATAAAACCATTTTTTGCTGACACATTTTTTTTACTTGCAAAAAATATTAAAAATTATAAAATAAAATTTATTTAAAAAAATTTTAAATAATTGTAAAGAAAAAATGTTGTTTGGAAAAGGTTTTTTTGCTCATAAAAAAATTGCAAATTAGAAAAAATAATTTACTTAGTTCAAATATAAAATACGTAGAATGAAAGAATCTTATTTAATAAAAATTTTTTTGTCATAAAAAGTGATTGAAAATAAGAAAATGAATTTATTTATTTATTTATTTACAAAATCTGTAATAATGAAATTTATTTTCCGATCTAAAATAAATAAAATTAATTAATTTCTTTCAGTTAATTTTTTTAGTTACAAAAGATATTGAGAATTAAAAAATAAAATTCATTTTCAAACTCAAAATAATTAGACATTAGAATGAAAAAATGTTGTTTGGAAAAAATATTAAATTTTTAGTCATAAAAAAGTTTGTAAACCAGAAAAAATTATTTATTTTCAAATATAAAATAAGAAGAGAATTTTTTCAAAAAAAATGGTTTACACTTTAAAAAAAGAAAATTAATTAATTAAATTAAAATTATATAAAAGCGATTGAAAATAAGAACATAATATTTATTTTCTACTCGAAAATACAAAAATATGTAGAATGAAAAAATGTTTGGAAAAAATATTTTTAGTCATAAAAAAAGATTGTGAACCAGAAAAAATTATTTATTTTCAACTATAAAATAAGTAGAAGAAAAGAATTTTTCCAAACAAATTTGTTTACTTTAAAAAAAGAAAATTAATTAATTAAATTTAAATTCTATTAAAAAAGCGATTGAAAGTCAAAAAATAGTATTTATTTTCAACTCTCGAAAATACAAAAATAAATTATAATGAAAAAAGTACGAAAAATTATTTTAGTCAAAAAAATTTTAAATTAGAAAAAAGTACACCCAGAAAAAAATTGAGAACATATTATTGAATTTCATCTACAAGAGCCTAATTTGAAATTAATAAAAAATCTCATTCATAAATCCGTATTGAAACCATGAAATTAATTTTGACGGTCATTGTCAGGAAATAAAAAAGAAATTTTTTTATTCAACGCTTTTGCCGATTACGGTCGATGACATTATTCGTTTCAGGGAAAGTAGTTATGAAACGTTAATTTAGCACAAAAATTTCCTGTAGATTATTTTCTGAATATATCACACACACATGTGTGTAAAAACACACATCCACAAATTCCGAGATTAAAAAAAAAATTATATAGACAAAAATAAAAAATTTAATGCGTTACTAATGACAAGAACAGTACGCGAGCTCTCCCAACCTCATAGGTCTGATTAGTGAAAGTGATTGACTTTCTCTACTGGGAAAGATGAGTAGAGATATTAAAAAAAAATTTTTTTTTCTTAAAAATAAATTAAGTTCTTAAGGTCAGATCACAGAACATGTTTTATAAATAGAAATTTTCGTTTTGATTGCCATTTTTTTTTCTTCCTCTTTTGCTTTTTTTTTGTTTGTTTTTAGCAATGTTCTAAAAGTAAGCTATTCTCTTTTCCGGTTGACATTAATTTCACTGTCCGTTAAAATTCCACAACTAATCACTCAATCTGTGTATATACCTTTCTAACTGCTAGGTTCCATATAATTAATTCTTTGACATTTATTGCAGTTTCAGGCTAGGAAAGTATGTGTATATATACAATAGGCTTCGTGAACGTTTACAGGATATTTTATTGTTATTACTCGGTCATGATTATTGTTATTGTTACTCTAGAAATAATATTTCGTGTCTTTTGTCTTGTTAAACGATAAATTACCTTCAATTATCTCTTTTGTGTGTGAAACAATTTTTTTTTTTTGGATATAAGACTTCATATATAAATTTTCAGTTTTTTATTTTTTTAAACCAAAAAATCTTGTTATTAAAGATAAAAAAGATTTTTAAGTTCCAAACAAATTTTTTAATTATTTTTTTTCTAAAGTTGCAAGAAGATAAAAGAAACTTACTATAACGATAAAAGAACTTACTAATTACTATAAAGAACACGATTTTTAAGACTCAAAGAACTAAAAATTTTCCAAAGTTGCAAAAAGATAAAAAGAAGAAAAATAAGAAAAAAAGAACAAGACTTTTAAGTTTCAAAAAACTAAAAAATTTCCAATGTTGCAAAAAGATAAAAAGAAGAGGAGTTGCAGATTTACCACCAAAATTTAATATTGTTTTTTCCTGTCCTTTTGAAAATTCAATTGTTCCTAACAATCCATTCTATAATGCTTCTAATATTCAGTTATTAATTTATTATCAAAAACTATAACTAAAATTCATTCTTAATTTAATTTTTATTGAAAAATTCTACAAGAATTCAATTATTTATGTAAAACAATAAATAATTGAATGTTTCTTAAAATTGAATTCTTAAAAAGAATTTTATCAACAAATTTTTAAATAATTGAATTCTTTCAATGAGTTTTAATAAAATTTTCAAGAATTTGTATTTTTTTGAGAAAATTAATTAAAATTGTATTAAAAATTTAAAAATAATTGAAAATCTGCGATGAGTTTCATTATTTATGATTAATAATTGAATTCCTCAAAAGAATTTTATTATTTATGGAAATATTTGAATCCCTAAAAAGAATTTCAATATTTATGAAAATAATTGAATTTTGCAAAGAATTTTATAAAAATTCTTGAAAATATTTGGATTTTCGTGAATAATTTT